ACAGAGCGCTTGAGATTGAGTAATAAGGGCAAGGAGAAAGTCGCTGGATAGTGTAGTCTTACTGAATGATAGAGGGCTGGTTCACATAAAGATCTAAGTGCAGATGCAGATCTATACTAGGATCTGGCTCGCCAGAGTCAGGTCGACCAGGATATCGGTATATGAGTTCGGTCGGTTTCCACCTGGTTCATCCTGGGTATTCTCTGTCTGGGCAATAGTAATGAGGTCAAATGTGGAATCATCAATGGCCCTCATAGGAACCACTAACCGCTCGAGGAACAAGCCACAGGCCTAGAAGAATCAAAACGAAAGCACGTAACAGTCTATGAAGGTAAAGGGATAATATCTTATCAGAGTGCACATGTCACTTCAAATCTAGGAGGGTGAGTATACAAGGATAAGAAAGATGAAGCCATAGGAAGAGGCTACAAAGGCACAGGGTCGGGTGATATGTTTACCTGCGGTAGAACCTCAAGTATCGCAAGACATCATGATTAAATAATTCGCTGGGTCGTTTCATGATATGCTTCATGGAGAGTCATCTGTGAAGTGAGCGCTTAACTTGGCAGAGCATAGTAACTTGAAGTCTTCGGAATACCACATATTTAGGAGTAGTACAGTAGTAATAGTACCGGTTAGTAAAGATTACTTAAGTCAAAGTGCTTAGTAAAAGAATGCTTTGCAATGTCTTGACGTAAGATATTGATGACGATGAGGCTTCTCCAGACATCGACCGATACTTTAGATAGATGTGTGCATCGCTTGATGATTATGTAGAAGACGGACAGTGGGTGGGGTGGTATGGTGAGGTGAGGCTCAGCTGGTAAAAATCCGAATTCTGCCATCCCTCACCGCCATCATGAGCCTCACCTCAACCTCAACACCAAGTCTTGGCAAGCCCGCATCGGCAGATGGGTTGCAACGATGTCTTATTTCCAGCGCATTATCAAAGTAAATCGCGAAATAAACATATATTACGATTCTGCAGGCACTGCTACATCTGTCTATCAGGTTATTATTACTCGTAAAGCACAAGTTTGGTCATTAAGCGAATTTTGATTTCATACGACCGTAACCTCTATAAAAATCATCCAAACGAGCTATAACCTCGTGTTTAGAACTCCTCGTCGTCAGAAACCTCCTCCCCACGCTTCTTTCTAGCCATACGCTCCTTTCTCTTTTTGCGAAGCTCAGCAGAAGTGAGCTTCTTCTTCTTTTCAACAACGGTCTGTAAGCAAAGTTAGTATAAGACTCGAAAAGCTTCCAACGATCCGAGAAACGGGGATTTGAACTGACCTTGTTGCCCATGGCATCGACGACCTCCTCGGGACCATCCTTGGCCTCAAGACGGGGACCGGAACCTTGTCCCTGAACCCAGTTGTGACCGGAGGGAGTCATCTTACCGTCAACGACGGCCCAGACTTCCTCGGTGAGGTTCTCAGTGAACTCACGGGAGTGAGTGATGATGATGACACCACCCTCGAAGCTCTTCAGAGCCTTGGACAGAGCACCGAGAGAATCACGGTCCAGGTAGTTAGTAGGCTCGTCCAGAACGATGACGTGAGGACGCTGCCAAGAGCAGGCGGCAAGGACGACCTTGACACGCTGACCACCGGACAGACCGCGCATGCGGGAGTGGGAGACCAGCTCAGCATCGAGACCGAACTGCTCGCAGTGGGCCTCAATCTCCTTACGGACCAGAGGACGGAACTGACCGCTGGCGAGAGCCTCCTTCTGATCGACCTCGGCAACCATCTTGGCGTGGGACTGCATGATCTCGTTACGGGGAATCCAGGCGTTGTCGGTGGTCATCATGGGAGTCCAGCGCTCGCTCTTCATGCCGATGTTCTCACCCAGCGAGAACGAACACTCGTATTCGTAGCTGTTCTTGAACTTACGACGAGCGTGGATACCAATGACACGACGGGGCTGGCCCTCGATCTTGTAGATCTTGTCCATGGCCTTCTCATCCTCGTCGGTGACGATCTTGTTGGCACGGTCCATGGTCTCACGGTCCTCACCGGTCTGGAAACGCCACTGGATGTACTCGGAGGGAGTGGAGTCGAGGTGGTTATCAATGTGAGCGAAAGCGTGCTGCTTGATGTAGGCGATACGGATGTTCTCGTGCTGGTAGACGTCACCGGAGGTGGGGATCAACTCACCGGTCAGGACGTTGACCAGGGTGGATTTACCAGCACCGTTGGGACCGATGACGGCAATACGAGAGCCCAGGGAGACCTGGAAGGAGATGTCGGTGAGCTGGGGCTTGGGGGTACCGGGGTACTGGAAGGACATGTTGTTGACACGGATGATGGCCTTGGCCTTGGTCTTGACACCCTCAAGGAAACCGGGCTCGGGGAACTTGAACTCGAGCTCGGAGGCACCCAGCTCGTAGTAGGAGCGAGCAGAGGGGACACGCTTGACGAACTCGCTCAGGTTACCACGGTAACGCTTGAGCTTGAAGCGCTCGTAGTGGACGACATGCTGGATGACGTTGTCCAAGAACTTGCTGTCGTGGGAGACGATGATGGAAGTGCAGGGGGAGGTGCACAGGTAGTTCTCCAACCAGGCGACGTTCTTGACGTCCAAGTGGTTGGTAGGCTCATCGAGCAGCAGGATATCGGGGGACTCGAACACGGCACGGGCCAGAGCCAGCTTCATCTTCCATCCACCAGAGAGGGAGGTGATGGGACCCTCGAACTGCTCACGCAGGAAACCGAACTCCTCGAGCTTGGCCTCGACCTCCTCCTGGCTAGTCTGGACACCGACCTCGCGGAGCTTCTTGATGGTCCAGCCAATGACGGTCTGCTCAGTATCGGCGGCATCCAAGTCGTGCTCAACGTAGACGGTCTTGACCTCATCCTTCTTGGGGAAGCCCTCAAGCTGCTCGTTGTTGATGGCACGCATGAGAGTGGTCTTACCGGTACCGTTGGGGCCGAGCAGACCGTAACGCTGACCACGCTTGAGGCGGAGGCTGGTCTGGTTCAGCAGAATCTTGGCACCGTAAGCCAGGGAGAAAGTGCAGTTGCACAGATCCTCACCCTCCTCCTCGTCGGAGAGAACTTCATCCTCAGCAGCGGCACCGGGGGAGGCGCGCTTGCGGAGGGTCTCGACGATGGGCTTGGCCTCCTCGTCACCAACGATGGCAGCGATGTAGGGAAGGGCGTTCTGGGTCCAGCTGGTGACCTCGGCGTCCTTCTCATCGACGAGCTGACCAGCGATGGCAGCAACGTAGGTGATGACGGACTCGGCCTTCTCAGCCTGGGCGGAGAACTTGGAAGAGAGGATCTCCTTGAGGATAGCGGAGACGGTGGAGATGTCACCAGCGGTGGAGATCTCGGGGATCTTGCCGTTCTTGACATCACCGACACGGCACAGGGTGTCCAGACCCTGCTTGGTCTTACCACGAGCCTCGGGGTCGGCCAGAGTCTCGTAGTTCTTCTCAAGACGGGGCATCAACTTGGGCAAGAAGGGAGCGACAATCTGGGGGTCCTCCACGAGCTTACACATGTTGTCAACGATGACAGCGGACTTACGCTTGATGGCAGTCTCACGCTCAACCAGACCACGGTCCAGCAGGGGGACCATGATGGCGAGGGTGGGTCCGGTGACATCGGAGACGAAAGTGGTAGCACCGAGCAAGTGAACGGTCTCGGGGACGTTCTCGGGCTTGGCGATACACTTGATGAGCTCGGGAATGAAACGCTCAATATCCTTGTTGACGATCAGACCGCAGACCTTCTCCATGGTAGCGTAGGCAGCCTTCTTGATGTCGGCCTTGGTGTCCCACATGGCCTCAGAGACAACGGGGATGAGCTCGGGGACACGGAAAGAGAGCTGAGCGGGGGCAGTCTCGACGAGAGCGTTGATGCACTCGAGAGCAGCCAGCTTCTCCTGCCACTTCTGGGCGTTGGCGAGGGACTCAAGGACGGGGGGAAGGACAGCCTTGACGGCGTTGCCGTTGACACCCTTCACGATGGCGAGGGCAGCACCCTGGGCGGCGTTCTTGACGGGAACCATCTTGTCACCGACGGCGGCAAGGACGGGGCCGAGGAGGGTGACGAGGTGAGGCTCGACACCAGGAGCGATGGTGGCGTGGGAGGCAATAGCACGGATACCCTCGCAGGCACGCTCACGGACAACAGCATCCTTCTTGTTGCTGAGCTGCTTCTGGAAGGTCTCGACAGCCCTGAAAATTTTTCATGTTAGCCATCCGCCACCGACCACATAGACGGCAGAGCGGGGTATTCTGCAGGTTATACATACTTGAGAGGGAGAGCCTGCTCGGGGATAGGGCCGCTGAACAGGTGGGCCAGGTTGTCGGCAGCAGCGTTCACCTCATCCTGGGAGGAAGAGATGTTGAGGTTCTTGATGAGGTCCTCAAGGACAGCGACGGACTGAGCAGTCTCCTTGCCGGAGACAGCAGGAACGGACGAAACATCAACAGCAGGCATTTTGATCGTGAAAGACGATGTCGTAACGTCGGAGAGAGAAGAAAGGAAGAAGAAAAAGGAGGAGAAAAGAAGCGAGAACGGGTGGAAAGCGTTCTATTAGGGTATCTCGATAAGAGGTGGCGGGCCCACGAAACCGCGTCTGGAAATTTTCACAGCACGCAGCAAACGCTCTAACACGGCCGCACAGGCAAAATCTATTTTTTTGTCCGAGAAACGACAAAAAACAAAACAAATTTTTAAGATAGAGGAGCAAACCTCTTAGAAGAGAGAGATGAAGGATGGGGAGAAAAAGGGAGGGAGGAGGGGGGGGAAGCGAAGGTGGGTGGAGGAAAGTGATATTTATCGCTTTGTGGCCTGCGTTTCGCCGCCCAACTTTTTTCAGTCCCGCCGCCAGTCCCAGAAAATCTCTTTTAATGAAAAAATTTTCGCTGTTCCTTAGAATTTGTCCCGCACTAACTTCGTTTCCGGTGTAGCGGCGATGGGCTGTCGAAGCAACCAACCGTGGCTCGTGAATGACTCTATCTGCAGCCGCTGATTGGCTGGATTTTCGTTTTCGCTGAGTCAGCCGCGTTGAACCCTCAGCCAAGGTTGCCCTGGTTGCTGCTCAACCATCAGGTTCGCTCCATCCTCACGGTCTGCCCGCTGCCATCATGGATCTTTGAAGGTTATTCCTGGCCATCGCCTTCCTGCCGTTCATTCCGACTCTTTTCCGTGCGGGAATCAGCGGAGATGGAGCAGTGGGAGCGGATATCTTGGAAATCATGATAGCCTTCCCCGACCGATATTACCCCGTCAAGAGGGATTGTGATTATTTTTACATACTTTCTGCTACTTTGTAACATATGGGATGGGCTGCCAGCCAATCCCCTTTCAGATCATCGAGCCATTTGCAAGCATCATCAAGTTGCCCCTTTCTTTGACAGGGCTGAGAGGGTCTTGAGCACAGCCGGTTTCTGTACCACCCTTTCTCCCCCTTATTGTTACTTCTGAGGATACTTGGAACGTCGCAGAATCCTCCCTACCGTTGTCCATCCCAAGTCTGGGGAAATTATTGTCAGGCTTTCATCGCTTATGGCGGAACGAACATCTTCACATGTGTATGCCAGCGTAGCAATGCTGTGAGGACAGTTCAGTACTTACTCTTCAGACTAGCCAGTCATCAATAGCCATTAGTTATTCATAGCTTGAGCCGGTCTAGGCTGACGGGCGAAAACGGAGAACGATCTGGCTCCGGGCCATGGCTCTTGGTAACTCTAACTTAGTAGAGTTTTCGTTATTATGATTTTTGATTTTACCCCCTTCTGTTATCCCTTTTCTGAAGTCTTTCTGTCTCGAAGGGGGGCTGCGCCACTTCACCCCGGGAATGATCAGAGGTGGCGACCGGCATGAAAGCAGCAGCATCTGCAGGGCCAACCAAGCCATGATGACACGGAGGGGCGGAGACTAGCCGGCCGCAGTAGATTATTATCAGTCTATCTATCAGGATGTTGCACCCCCGGATTAATGGCGTGTCAAGGACATTATCAAGGTATGTGCCAGCATGCAGCGCCATCATGAATTGAATGATGGTTTGTCGATGCATTTTGTGGTAAGATGCAGGCAAGGCCTGGGAAAATCCTGCCCGAAGCATAACCATGTTGTTAAGAAAAGGAGCATTATACTTTTGCGCCCGGAGATTGTTCCCCAGAGAGTCATGGATGCCTTATTATTGCCAAACACAAAGGGATAGGCAACTAAACACTCTCAGGCATAATTCTGGGGTTTAAGCGTCGCAAACACACGTCTGAAACAATGGCTTGTTGCAGGAGTCGATGCATCACCGCCATTTGTCTGACTCAGGCTTTTCTCACCGCATTCAAATATATCTGGCTTTAATCACTTTTCTTTACGTTATGTTGCCGATTGGCGTGTTGAGACCAAATAACTTTACAGCCCTTCTTCAAAGTGACATCCAGGCCTGCCGCCTCAGCCAACCCGAGAACCGTGCCTTATGATGTGCACCGTCAGTCTTCAGAATACGGGGGCCCCCCTCTTATCGCTCTTATCGGCTATCGAATTTTGAGTTCAATTTTCTCCGGATCTCCTTCCATTCCTTATCCCCCGCGAAAATATCCAAATCTGCAGTGGCAACCTGCAACCAACCACACTATTGCCACAACAATGGTGGAAGTAGAAACCTTCTTAGAACTCGTGAGCGCTATTCGCCCATGATGGTGGGTCGACACGTTGTTTTCCTACCGACACCTCGGAGTCTCTAAAGTGCACATCCAATACTCTTCTCCTCTCTTCGCGAGATGGCAAAGTACCCTTAAAAGTATCTATTTGGCAGATACAAATGGTCTCTCTACCTTCACTAACCATCATGGTTATCTCATGATGAGTCATTAGTAACCATTACTATCCCTTTTGGGTGTTGCCCCGGGTGCTAACCTTCAGCGCCCTTGGTACAGCAAATTACTACTTACTATATTCTGGACCTCAATCTAAACCTGCTATCAGACAATCGCGTCGCGTCTGTCTTACCACAATGCTGTCTCTTGAATATCCAACAGTTCCAATCCACGACATCATGGAGTAATATACAAAGTAATAGTTCGCTCTCGCTTCGGCTCATTCACATCTAACCATGGAAGAGTCAAGAGGCGGAGCACTATAAGTAAAGAGAGCCACACAGATATATCAATCTGTTGTCACAAGTTGTCCTTAATCTACATCAATTTCAGGCTCCTGATAAAAAAACCCGTGTTAGCTGCTTGCGACGTAGCGTGCGTGATTCCCGCCTCAGAACTGCGTCAGGAATGTTGACGATGCGCAAGAACTATACTCACACAGGTCCGGCCTTTGACCGACTCATGCCGTCCCATGCTGTCATGGCTTGAATTTATCTACCTGATACAATTAGGGCATGGCGAGGACACATGACGACGTTGCTCGATATGTCGTGATCTGGTACTAATATACCATAAATCCCAAGTCCAACTGACGAAACCCGTTTATTGTAGTTAGTCATCGCACTTGATGAAGACAATCGTACGGTCGCAGTATCACACGTTATTTCGCTGAGGATACATGTCTACTTAGATACGAGGAAATACCAAGAGATCGAGACATTTGCTGACTGAATGATATGGGTTGTTCGATCGATTCGTGTGGAGGTATCATGAGAACTGCTCAGGACAAGATTGGAATAAGTAGCCAAAATTAAAAGGATTACATATGAACAGCATCATTGGTCTAGTGGTAGAATTCATCGTTGCCATCGATGAGGCCCGTGTTCGATTCACGGATGATGCACTCGAATTTTGTTTTTTTCTTTCTATATTTGCTCCCGCCGACTGACCGCTGCGCCGATGTCATGATGGTGTAGCTTTTTCCTTCATTGTTACAATAGAGCGTATGAGACAATACTACATACTGACCTTTCTATCAGTACATGTCAAGGCGAAGGGGAAAATGCATTCGATCTATCTGGTCTCAAGAGATTGGGTTGGACAGTAGGTATCCTCCCGAATTCTTCATATCTATCTCGCACAAAGCCAGAGGATACCTGCCTTGTTTGTGTATAGGCCGTAAAGGTCTGTGTCACCAAGCAACGTGAGTCTTAGTAAGACCGGCAAGTGCAATGGTAAATGGGACAAAGAGGCAACCACATGACTACCTAGCCTCTCCCTCCTAGCATCGTCAATTTTGCGTGCCTCAATAGATCATAATGTAATACGTGCTGCATCACTTCTAAGTCCTTTGGTCGACAGCATCGATATCCATACTACCCATTATGTCGGATTCATTCCGCCAGTATTATTACGACCAGTACGATGACCCACGGAACTGCTATGGCCAGCAAGCTGCTGGATATAGTCACGGAGATACTCCAGGCAATTATTCTTCAGCGCAATACCAGCAAGGACAGCGTTCGCAGTACGCATACAATCAGGTTCTTGTATGTCTATCCGATATTACCAACCCCGTATGCGCATGCCTCATGGGCCGTAAATAATCCGTGGAGATAGCAGCAAGCTAATTTGTTAGCCTACCAATAACCATTATGTGAATCCATCCCCAGGCAGTCATCCTGCACAAGATCAGCAAAGCTATGCACCTTCCTACGACGCAAGGCAATCAGATGGACATCGGCATGAGCAACCCACGTTCATGAGATGCGAGCAAAGCTCATCTTATCTACCACAGTCTCAGCATCGGCAAGGCCAGAATGTGTCTTACTATCAGACGCAGTCAGAGCCTGTCCCTACTACAGACACATCCGAAGGTGAAAAGGGGTTTGTCTCGCATGAAGCCGGCGTCATCGGCAGGGGCGCTCTAAGTCACAAGCTGGGAGATGGGATGCTGGGTGTTGCAGGAGGTGCATTGGCAGGCGCTGCAGGCATGAATATCGCAAGTAAACTGTAAAACTGCCTATGATGATGCCTAGCATACGTACGCTGACATGTGTTTTCCGCAGACGCAAGAGGCATAGAAAGAAACACCATGGCAAGAGTTCCCGTCGTTCAAGCTCCAGTTCCAGCTCAAGCTCCAGTTCCAGCTCAAGCTCGAGTTCAAGTTCCTCTAGTGATAGCCATTAGTTTGCGTGTGGCTCGCACCTTTATCCTTCTCTGTTCGGGTTTTATTGAATGCGCCTTGGGGTGTTCGTTATTAGTTTCCAACTCAATTCGCTACTCCCGTATCGACTGTATGTCTCGTATCGATTACCGTATTAATGACCGACGCCTGTAGTGACAACCCCTCTTCTATTCACCTTGTCTGGTGACCAGACCCTTTTGGGACATCAGGGTATAGGGCCCACAATCTTCTATATATTTCTCCCTCGTCTTCTTCTTCTCTTTCCTTCTCTTCCCCTCTTCGTTATCTACAACCTCTCTCCCTCCCCATATCAATATACGTAGTAAGTTATCTCATGATGGACTCTGGTGATGAGCGAGAAGAGTGTTGATCTTTTGTTCTTCTCTCTAGACAACTACGGAAAGGTGAGCATGAGTCTAAGCAGCTCAGGTGATGCAACATATCTGATGATACTCTGTGCGTCTAGATGCCCCTCGTCGAGACATTGCCGCCACCGCCGCTGCTATCGCGGGCCCACTTAGGTCCAACTGGAACGCTCAAAAGTAAGTTTTCTATATTAGAAGATTTAGTGTATCTATGTGGCACTGTACTGGGTTCTATGATATCATACTGTTCTGTCATTAATAAATATTGATACTAACTAAGTTTATAGATTATAGATGCTCTGGAAGATGCCGGGGTTGAGGTCCCGGAGGGGGTTCTACCCCCCACCCGGGACCTCACCGAAGGGCAGAAGCTTCGAAAGAAAGAGCTCAGAGAAGAGATAGCACGACTCAAGGAAAGAGAACGTGAACACAATGAAGCTCTCCGTGTGAAGACCGAGCAATGGGACACTGCCCGCAAAGGGCTAGTGGATGCTGTAGAACGCCATGACTCTGAACGCGCCGAGTCGTTTGCGCCCGACTACCAGTTGTCCAAAGAGTTGGACGAGCAGATCAAGTCCGCTGTCGCGGAAATCAAAGGTCTCGTGTAAAAGACTGATACCGCCCTTTACATGATGGCTGGTTTTATGGGACTGAATTCGTGAATCGAATTGTCCAGCAGAGTTAGTGCTCAATATGCCACGGGCACCTTCCCATTTGGGAGGGAGGTCTCGAGCACAACATCTTCTTCACCCGTTTTACTGCATGTATTTAGATCATCTTCGTTATCCGACACTTACAAACAACAAGACGCTTCTGCACGTTTCCAGGCAGCTGTCAGCTGATCCTTCGCCTCTTCTTCCTGCGTGGTCTCCGACCATCACCTCTTCCAACCAACCAACCAACCACCCAGCCCCTTGAGATCTAGATAGATCAAATTCATATATATTTGACCCTTTGTCTTGACGATTGATTTGTCTGCAAGTTCTTGAAGAGGATGTAGACGCCTTCGACGTAGCTAGAGAAATGTTCCCTCATATTCTTATCGAGCAATGTGCCGTCATCGTTCGATGGCAATTGCAAATCAAATGTCATTGTTATCCGGGCAACAGTTGCCCTCATGTTCATGAGTGCTAGCGGTTTGCCGATGCATGCGTAGGGACCTTGAAATAGTCAAACTCGCAATTACAGGCGTGGTTAGAATAAGCAGACACGTTACTGCCACACCGGCCAGATTTCCTCCACACCGGCCTTCGCTCATGCCACACCCTCTGCCTATCTTATAAAACAAGATCCCATCCATTTAAGGCAAGGCTTGGGCTCTAGAACAGGCGGGATCCTATCACCTGCTACTCTTAGGACTTTTGTTCCTGAGGCATGGATTCAGCATCTTAGGTATTGAAATTTACCCATGTTGGAAAAGCAGTAAAACAAATCAGAGAGGCCACATTTTAAATGAATGGGACCTTACCTTACAAGATAGGCGGAGGGTGTGGCATGAGCGAAGGCTGGTGTGGAGGAAGCCTGGCCGGTGTGGCGGTAGCGCCTCCCTCAGAATATTGGCAAATCCAGCAACAAAGATATAACCCACCGAGTAAAAAAGGAGCATAGGCAGATTTATATTTCATCGCCTCAGGGTATCTGTACCACCTCTCAGGGAGGAGCCGATTTGCATTCTCGTAGAAGGCATTGGCTAGAAAGGTGAGCATTTGCTTTTGTCAGACTGAGGGATTATATAGTCCACTTACATCTTCCAATAACCCATTGTGGGCAAGAGACTGTCATGTTTCCTGGTATGTAGGTGTCACCGATCATGATGCCCTCCGGTGGTGTCTTTCTAGGAATAATGCTTCCAATTGGAGGATGTAGACGGAGTACCTCGTTGATAAACCCATTGAGATGTCTCAAGCCTGCGATTTTCTCGTGCATATACTCCCCGCTAGGCTCGACAGCACATAGACTTAGCTCCTCGCGGATCATCTTCACGTGTACTGGGTGTTTAGCCAGCTCGTAGATAATGGTGATTAGAGCTGCTGCGGTAGTGTCACTATCGTTCACTTGTGAGTCTGCCTTGCTAGAAAGAATAGCTTCGAAGAGGTGCATACCTCCCTGCTGCAATTATCAATTCAACATCCCCAAGCAACTGATAGAATTCTTTAGTTGTAGGTACTCGTCCTTGTAACTCCACGAGCAGCGACGAGCTGATATCGGGTATTTCGGGCGTTTTCTAAAAGCATAAGTGATTTACTCGGGCATAAAACAGCAGAGAAGCCTCAAAGACAATACCCTCATTCTCGTCTTCAGGCGCTGATGGCTGAACTTCTCATATCTCAACGCATCCTTGTTCATCCCCGGTATAGAACCCAGCAGCCGAAGGGCCCAGATAGGCACGGAGAACTCCAATGGCTTAAGCATGTCGTTCAGGATCTGGATTGCCCAGTGATTGGCACTAGCATCCAGCATGCCGAAAGTCTTACCGAAAGCCAAGTCACCCATCACATCATAACTGTACCATGTGAGATAGTTGCTGATGTTAATGGCTTGATCACCAGCGGCCGAGTTTAAAAGATCGATGAGCTTTTGTCGATAGACTTGAATGCGTTTTTCGTATGCTCGAAGTGATTTATCGCTGAAGCCTAGACTCCATACTCTCCGTCGTTGGTCATGAGCTTCCCTGTTTCGATGTGCATGTAGCGATTGCACTGGTGCACCGAGGTCATAGAAGGGCGCTTTAGTACAGGAGGACTTAAATCCATAGATGATATTTACGGCATCGGGGTGGATTATGGAGAGATCAGATGGGCCTATGCGCACAAATGGTCCGTACTTCTTATGCAACTCTTCGAGGACCAGGTAGAGGGGTTGGTGAAGTAGCTTTGCTGGTAGCCAGAACCCAGATAGACGTGCACCTAGGGGGCCGGGAAACCGTCCTAACGGATGAAGAAACATCCTGTAAATGATGAGGCTGCAGTATAGGCCCAGCAGATGTGTAGATATTAGGCTCAGAGATGCGGTGCTTGCTCGAGTAAATGAGATTTTTTGTGCATATTGAATCGTTGCAGCAACTAGTATCGACAAGCCACCATATGTGTAGAGATACCGAATAGGATAGAGATGGTGTTCGCCAGAGCGAAAGTAGAGACTGTGAGCTAGCACACCTAGAGTGAATGCTCCAGCTTGTAGTTGTAGTCCATTTTCCATAATCATGACCACAGGCTTGAAGCCAAACTTGTGACGAGAAGGGCGTTAGTGATATCAGAGATTGCTAGAGGGCGACGTTTATTCTAACAAGGACTTACAACAGTGAAGTTGTATCGATGCTGCCTAGTGTTCATGATGAGTTCAGTCGGTGGTACAACCAATGCCAATCTTATGTCGACTTACCCAAATCCTTGAATGGTCTTTTCAAGTGTGCGGCAATATTGTCCATCTGCTCTCACAGTCGCATGAAGCGGAGAAACCCGAGCAGGACATGTATGGGCCCTGCATCTGGGATCCCTTTTAGCAATTGTTCCACCGTACCCTGCAATCCTGGCGTAATTTAAGCAGGCTAGTACCCACCTTTGGCATCGCCTGGACTGGTACTATGCTTGTGAAATATGGGAGGTTAAGCATTCCAATCGCCATGTATGTAAGGTTGTACGCTGTTCCTGGTAGATGTCACATCTGTTCAATGTTTGTGCATTGTTGTGGACCCATTTTCACACCAGCCCCCTCTCTCCTTAATTTAGGGGAACTAAACTAGTCCCTGAAATTTTCTTCTCCATAATAAACAGCAAAGGGGTCTATTCTGCACCTACCGAAGAGTATCTCTATAGCCCAAAATCAGGTCTTTTCAAAGCACCGCCGTATTTCTTGAAACGTCATTAACTCTAAACCAGAGTCTCTCAGCGCCAATGCGCTCCACAAACTTCAGGCGGCAACACCGGAGTTCGGAAATTTACTACCTGCAGCGGAGTGTTAGGGTTTTCAAAGAGCGTTGCATATCTGAATGGTTACACAAGTATCGGCTTTGTGCCCGCCTTGTTGTGGCTTTCTGTTTAGAATGCATATATGCTCGCAGAACAGACAAGTGCGACACTCCTCAACCTCGTTCGGAGTGGGAACGGTAAAATACTTGATCATACTGCCTTTTGTATAAGGGCAATACACTGACCTCTTGGACCAGCAGATCTGCGAGCATCATCTACCTCGAGAGATAGGTTAAACCAAAATGGCCTCATCTTTCCTGAGGGACGAAACCTCATCTCATCCAAAAGGTGTGGAGGCATCACCACCTGACGATTTACCTGAAAATCAGAAGGCGAATGCTGGCACCGACTCCCAGTCAACCCCAAAGCCATGGGATACCATCGTGAAATACCAAACCTCAACCAATGGCGCCGAATCGTCCTGGTGGCGGAACATTGGCCCACTCCTTGGTCGGTTGCTGCAACTAACAGGCTACTCTGTGCCTATGCAATTCGAATATCTACTCTTCGCGCGGAATCACATTGTCCCCGCTCTCGGACCGTATCCGCAGCGCTGGCCAAGCGTTATGACCTATACCGACCTGCCGATTGAGATGAGCGTTAATTTCCAGGATCACAATGCATCGACTGTTCGTGTGGGCATTGAGCCGATCTGTGAGTTTGCGGGAACATCTAGTGATCGGTTCAATCAGACTGCTACGGAGCGGCTGGTTGGTCGACTGTCTACATTGGGAGGACTCGACCGCATGCTGTACCATCATTTCGTTAGGGATTTTGGAATCACTGAGATGGAAACATTGAAGGTGAAACAAGGGGAGTTTAAGAGGGACTCAGTGCAGTCGATGTATAATATAGGGTTCACCTTTAAGAGGGTTGGGGCAGCTAGTGTGGATACGAAGGGGTATGCTTTTCTCAGGCTCAAGGAGAAGGCGTCTGGCGTGCCTATGCAACGATTACTCCGTGATTCATTGAGCCAGCTAAATGTGACGGCAGAGAGAAGAGACAGTGAGGCAGTTCAGAAGGTGATTGAGTACATGGAAGAAGGCGGGGGATTCAATGAGTACACATACCTGGCTTGGGACTTTGTCGATTCGGCCAAGTCCCGAATCAAGGTTTATGGGGTCCTTGGAGATTTAAGGATGGAAAAGGTAAAGGAGGTATGGACCATGGGTGGAAGGCTGAAGGATTCGGCTACGATGCAGGGCCTGGAGTTGGTCCGACGGCTATGGGGATTTCTGGAGGGCAACGGTCAACAAGGACAACATCCTTCTAAGGCGCCAATACTGATGTGGAACTATGAAATCCGACCGGGCCGCGACGAGCCCATCCCGAAGCTGTACCTCCCACTTCTTGGGAGGAACGACATGTTCGTGGCCAAGACGCTGGCGCGCTTCTTTGACTCGCTCGGATGGGCGGACGAGGCTCGGAGCTATGTGGCTAACGTGCAGTATCTGTTGTGAGTTCTGCCCTTTCCCGATCACAGTTATTCCGACTGACATTGATGACAGTCCGGATGAAGACCTCGAGCAGTCTGCCCGGCTTCACTCGTGGGTGTCGCTAGCGTATACCAGCCAGGCGGGGGTCTATGTGAGTGTGTACTATCACTCCAGCCTGGCCTAGAATCAAGTCTTGGAATCGTCATCATGAGCATCGCACAAGGGTATTACTATGAACTGAACTGTTGCATAAAAAAGGTCGTACGCGTAAGTAACCATTTGGCGGACATCTAGGCGTTCTGTGCGACCACCACACCGGTAAGTCAAAGCAGGTTAATAATCGAAAGAAACCCCAGACAGGGATATAGACTACTTCCTAAGTAAGACGGTGGCCATTTTCTTTTCCACTCAGCGGGGATTGGCTGCCGTCCGGCTATTGTGCGGCACCAGCTGACCAGAGCCGAGATGGGGACTAATTCACCCCATGGCACCCCCGCGGAGCTGAGAAGCGATGGATAAGACAGGTAGCAAGGGAGGGAAGGAAAGAAAAAACAGTGTAATCCGGCCAACGAGGGAGGGGCGCTCGGGCAAAATCCGCGCGCAGAAGGATTCTTGGGATGGAACGAACTGGGTCTCGTGTCCGGGCCGAGAACCGTTGATTCGTTGGGAGAGAAACCTGGCGAGCAAGTTGGTGGCTGACGGGATGCCAGTGGGAGAGTGAAAAGTTTACTAGGCGAGTTGGTAGTCTGGGACTAGATAGAACTAGATAGAACTAAGGGTAAGGATAGCTCGGGGTTTTACCCCGCGATGGAGCCACGCACGGCCGGGGGGTGAGGGTTTTAAATTGTTCGCTTACCCCGGCGGCCATTGGCGGTCTGGAATTTATTTAGAGTTGATGGGACCCTGTGCAGCCGTTAATTGCGGCATAAAAAACAGGAGATAGAACAGAGAATACGATGGAGACTTTTTCATAGATGGAAGCCCAGATCTGGGGAGGAAACAAGAAGAGGGAGAAAGAGACAAGCCGCGACAAGGCGGGCTTGGCTGGTGGAGTTGGAGCTGGAGAGCCGCTTGGCAGTAAATCTGGGGAAATCTTGGCGGGGGAAACACACACAGAGAGAGAGAGTTTTAACATTCTTTCACAAAAAGAAATAAAGGCAGTAGGCTCTCAGATCACTCGATTACATCAGATGAGCAATTGACATGGCCAACGATGTGTCAAAAAATAAATAAAGTGCTCATACAAACAAAGACAGAGGAACAACAAGCAGTGCTAGAGCGTGATGATGGCATCCGGCCTGACTAAGGAAATCCCCCGGTCATTTACGATTTGCCCAGAAACTCTGGTTGAGGGGCGGCGTTAAGCTTTCCAACCTCTCTCGTTGCTTTCTGTTCCTCTCTAGCTTTCCAAAGCTTCCCCAGATGACTTGATGGGACCCATCTGTTCCGGAAGATGCATCTTCCTCCTGCTCGTCATGGGAGGGATCGGCACCTGTCCGGCCATGCTCACCGTCGTCGGCTTTCTGTTCCAATTTCACGGCCTTCGTCCTTCTGCCCGATAATCGGGGCATAAAAGCCTGCTCCCCGCCAGCTGATGGCTCGTTCGTTTCTTTTTTCCCCGACCAGGCCATCCATTTCTTTTCCTCAATTCCCCAACCGCGCAGCGCTTGTAGACGCGCTCTCGCCGTGGTTCTTTTACTCCCTTCTTCCATCATGTCCCACTACTACGAAGGGGACAAACCCTCCACCGGGGTGCCCGTTCCCGTCCAGCTATCAGCTGCTGACGAGGATGAGCAGTCCACGATGAGTCCCATCAAGTACATGGCCACTCGTCTTACAACCTTGGTGCCTCCTATGAACCCAGCTCCCAATCCCTTCAAGGCGCTCATGCTCCTCAATCGGAAGCAATGGCTCTTTTTTGGGGTATGTTTCATCCCAAACCTCAGACGCCGGACCCTCTTCTTGCGCCATGACTAACCGCGGCTCTAGGTTGCTTTTGCCGGCTGGACTTGGGATGCTTTCGATTTCTTCACCGTGTCCTTGACTGCCACCGATCTTGCAAAGACCTTCGACAAATCTGTCACCGACATCACCTGGGGCATCACCTTGGTGCTGATGCTCCGCTCCGTGGGCGCCATTACATTTGGAGTCGCTGCCGATCGCTGGGGTCGCAAGTGGCCCTTTATCGTTAATAACCTCCTGTTTGTCGTGTTGGAACTGGGTACGGGTTTCTGTCAGACCTACAAACAATTTTTGGCTTGTCGCGCTCTCTTTGGAATCGCCATGGGTGGGTTGTACGGCAATGCCGCGGCGACCGCGCTTGAGGACTGTCCTATGGAGGCGCGCGGTATCGTGTCTGGCTTGCTGCAGCAGGGCTATGCGTTTGGATACTTGCTGGCTACCGCATTTGCACGCGGCCTGGTCAACACCACTTCCCACGGATGGCGGCCGCTCTACTGGTTTGGGGCCTGTCCGCCCGTGCTAATCATCATCTACCGGATGTTCCTGCCGGAGACCGATACCTTCCTTCAGCGCCAGGCCACTCGAGAGCATGTTCGCGGTGGAGTGACTACAACCTTCTTGTCCGAGGGTAATACAGCCCTGAAGAGACATTGGCTGCTTCTGATCTATCTGGTCTTGCTCATGGCTGGCTTCAACTTCATGGTACGTTTGAATGCATACTTTACTCAATTTAGTCGATTCAGCGTCACTAACCAAACCCCAGTCTCACGGCTCCCAAGATCTCTACCCGACCATGCTTGAAAACCAATTCAACTTCTCCGCCGATGCCGTTACTGTTACCCAGGTCGTCGCCAACCTCGGCGCCCTGACCGGAGGTACTACGTGCGGCTGGGCCAGTCAGATCTTTGGACGCCGCTTCTCCATCGTCTTCATTTGCATTATTGGCGGCGCGCTCCTCTACCCTTACACATTTGTCACGAACCACAGCGTTATGGCTGCTGCCTTTTTTGAACAATTCTGCGTGCAAGGCGCATGGGGTGTCATCCCCATCCACCTGATGGAGCTGTCGCCGGGTGCTATCCGCACCTTCGCGGTAGGTACGGCCTACCAGCTGGGCAACCTCGTCTCGTCGGCTAGTTCGACGATCGAGTCCACGATCGGGGAACGGTTTCCCTTGCCTCCCACAGAGGATGGTACCAAGCGGTACCAGTATGGCAAGGTCATTTGTATTTTTATGGGCTGTGTGTATGGATATACGATCTTGGTGACGCTGATCGGCCCCGAGCGGCTAGGTCGCAAGTTCGATGTCGCGCATGATGGCGATATGGCGGTTGTGGCAGCACAACGGGGAACGGATGGGGAGGTGGAGGTAGAGGGTGATCCGGAGAAGGGCACGTCGAGGATGGTGGAGGGTTGATTCGATCAGTCGGTTAGATGTACTGTTGATGATGTTATGATGTGACGAGATGAGTGATATTCATTATGTTATATAGCCGATTGCAATGCATGAGAATGTACGCTATGTTTGTTGGCTTAGTACATTGTTTGACTCCGTCCCGAGATGTCTCACTCCACCTGGCCCAACATCCTATCGCGTTGTAGAGTCTATGACACAGAACAGATCAGTGGGGATGTCGCAGATACCTAAATTATTGTAATCGATATCATTAGTCCAGGCACTGGTACAATAACAACCGATGATGATTGTAGAAAAAGTAAGAAAGACATCAGAATCTGCTTAATAATCGATGCTCATCAATCCCCTTTGGGACCGATCACAGGGTTGAAGATGGAGGATCATCATTGTAATCATTCTTCTATTAAGTGGCAAGGAAAGCTTTAACTTACCATACTATAGATAATGTTGATGGCAGGAAGTAAGCAAAAATGTTCGAATAGTGGCCATTTCCCCTGGGCACACAGACCCTTTTATACAGCCAGCCGGTCAGGAGATTCTTCCTTAGGCAACCAACCAGCCAACCCCGCACGGATTGGAACTAAACTGCATTCATTCCAATGCAGTGAACCGGGATGCTGACAGACAGTCCTGTAATGCACGGTGGAAATATACTTTCTACTCGTAGGATACCATTACTAACGAATTATTTGTATAGAATACCAGTAGAAATAGCTAGTTGTTTGAGTTTAGATCGAGATCAAAGGAAAAATGGATCCACTCTCGGACATTGGCATCGCAATCTCGTGGAGCGGAGATCGGCGACGCTCTTTTCTCAGGGTCTGATTGATTCATGACCTTAATTTGAGTTGGCTGATGGAGTGCTGAGCTTATGGTTCATGGTTCTTACCAACATGTTGATGGCTGTCATTATTCAGTGGGGATATGGAGGAATTCCATGGACGAATTGTACTCTATGTGCCCTCCCCTTCTGTCTCTGACATCAATCAGTTTAGTTTCCTGGTGGATGTATCCTGACGGTACTACCTCGGGGGTTTCGAACATCGTCACCTCATCTTCTTTTTTTCGCCCCTACCCACTGTTTCTACTTGCAATGCAGATGCATTAGATCCCGTCTATCTAGACTCAGATTATTTGCAGTTCCACCTCACGAGTCAAGAATGAATTGAGATCGTCATCCCGACACAAAGAGCTAGGGCAGCAAAAGAGAGACGCCGACCAGAACCGCCAAGCCCCGGACCGGGACTGGCGCTGCTCTCAACTTTCCCTTACAACTTCCAACTTTCATTTCACTTGCTCGTCTTCGTTTGCTACGCTCCTCGCTCCTCCTCCGTTTCGGGCTTCATCTTTCCCTCCCTCTCCTTTCGACCTCCTCCTCTCCCATCCGGTCGTTTCGGTTTGCCTTTCCTTTTCTTTTATTGGGATCTCTCCGTCCTCCTCATCTTTCCCCGGTCGGCGACTCCCTCGTTCGTCCGCAACCCAAACCCCCCGACTGCAAGGGTCCGGTCTCAACGCCCACAGGAGGTAGAGGGAAGACCGCAAAGAAGACGAGGAGCAGCTTCAATCTCCAACGCGTCTAATATATCTCTCCTGCATTTGGTACTACCGGCAGCTGCAAACCCTCATTCGCTCAATTCCTCGCGATCCGATCCGTTGGCGCATTCCAGCCTTTTCCTCAGGGTCCAACAAGCAGCCGTGATCCCCTTGCCGCCTGGCTGCTCCTCCTTCCCCCCCACAGATTCCTTACGATCCTACCCTCTTCCCCCGAAGACACCACCACCGCCTTCTCCTCCTCCTCCCCTTCTGCCTCCGAACCCGGCCCTTCCCCCCCATACGTGCTGGATGAGTATCTCGATCGCCGCCTCTTCCAATGCACAGACGCTCGTCTGGCTCGCCAGCCGAGGACGACGCTGAAGAATCCCTGGCCCCCGTCTCTCGCACCCCGACAGACCCGAGTCCTGCGCCTCAAGTCCTCGATCCGCCGGAAAATTCGCGTCCGCAGGCCGCTGCCAGGACCGGCACCAGCTTCGATCTTCGTCGAGATGCCTCCAATCCGCGTTCCCGAAATTCTAGCCTTTGGCGCACTTCCTCCTCCTCCACCGAATCCCGCTCCTCCGCCGTTATGATGCCGCTGGCTTCCCAGCGATTGCCCATGGAAGCCTCCCCGGACGGTCACCTCCGCTTTCGACCGTCGCGCCTCCGCAGTCCCTGGCCCGTTTCCATTCTGACCGCGCTCACCACCCTGGTCGCCTCGATATTTCTCTTCTTCATCCTCCGGTCCTTCTCCGAACGGCAGATTGGCGGCGATGGCTGTGGGATTCCCGTCATGAGTCCCACCTTCCTTCGCATGGTGGGTTTCGATACGGAACATACCCGGTTTGCGAGCAAGTATAATCTGTTCCTCTATCGGGAGGAGGGTGTCGACCCGTACAACCAGGAGAACTTGGGCGTAAGTACCTGGCCAATGATTGTGCCGCGTGGCTGTGGCGTTTCCTCCCCGATCGCAGGCTGACTATGTATTCTGCTACATCCAGTTAAACGGTGCCCCTGTCCTCTTCCTCCCCGGAAATGCCGGCAGCTATCGACAAGTTCGCTCCCTGGCTGCCGAAGCCTCGAGACACTATGCCGACGTCGTCCGACATGATGAGGAGCGGCTCAAATCAGGTACCCGCAGCTTAGACTTTTTCATGATCGACTTCAACGAAGACCTGGCGGCCTTCCATGGCCAGACACTACTCGATCAAGCGGAATATGTCAACGAAGCCGTCTCATACATCCTCTCGCTCTACCATGATCCGCGACGGTCGCGGAGGGACCCTGGCCTTCCCGACCCCAGCGCGGTGATTTTAGTTGGGCATTCCATGGGAGGCATTGTCGCACGCACGGCGTTAACAATGACGAATTACCAGGCAAACTCGGTCAACACGATTGTCACCATGTCTGCACCGCACGCAAAGCCCCCCGTTTCGTTCGAATCGGACATCGTTCATACATACAAGCAAATCAACGATTACTGGCGGGATGCCTACTCCCAGACCTGGGCGAACAATAACCCACTGTGGCACCTTACGCTGATCTCGATCGCGGGTGGTTCGCGCGATACGGTGGTTCCGTCGGACTACGCTAGTATCTCGTCGCTGGTTCCGGACACGCACGGCTTCACAGTTTTCACCTCGACGATCCCTGATGTCTGGATCGGTATGGACCATCTGTCAATTACGTGGTGTGACCAGTTCCGCAAGGCAATCATCAAGTCGTTGTTCGACGTGGTGGATGTCCGTCGGGCCAGCCAGACAAAGCCCAGGGCCGAGCGCATGCGGATCTTCAAGAAATGGTATTTGACTGGATTAGAGTTGACCGCTGAAAGAACGCTCCCACAGAAAGGTGCGTATGCGATAGCACTCGTCGATACTGTTGCTAACTGTTATTAGAACCATCTACATTATTGACGCTGGAAGATAGCACCAACATCATCCTGCCGCAAGGCCAGCGACTAATTCTTCGCGAGCTCGGCCACAGCCCGAATACCAACGTCCACCTGCTTCCCGTTCCGCCGCAGGGTGTGTCGGGGAAGAAGTTTACTCTTCTTACAGATCAGAAATTAGACAACCCCGGAGAGCAGGGGACATTGGAGGTTCTCTTTTGCAGTGTCTTCCCGTTGCACAACGGCAAGTTTGCCAGCATTTTCTCGATGAACATGGACTTTTCCGGGAGCAGCGCCGGCTCGACGCGCCTGGCTTGCAAGAACGCTGCGGAGGATGGCATACACCTACCAGCGTCGACGAGGACCTCGAAGCAAGCGTATGACCGGACCTCCCCTTTCTCGTATCTCCAGTACGATCTGGAGGATTTGGTCGAGCACCAGTTTGTGGCAGTGGTCGACAAAGCGCGGTCTCCAACTCGCGGCTGGGTGGTGGCGGAGTTCTCCGACAGCTCTGACTCGGTCATCCGAGCTCGTGTGGGCTTGGGCGGCTTGCTCAGTGCTGGACTGAAGATGAGACTTCCGGCGAACCGCCCAATGCTCACTGAGGTGAGAATTCCGGCGCTGCATTCGAGTTTGTTAAATTACAAGCTTAAGATCGTCCGCCGGGGTTACGGAGAACAGCCCGAGCTGTTTGCACCGCTATTGCGCCAGTCGATCCCTGATCCCCACGAGTCCAAGTTCTTTGTCAATGTGAAGCAGGTCAATGTCAATCTGCACGGAGTCGCTCCGTTCATGCCTCCGCCTCTTCGTGAGCAAGCCACCCTTGGTGGAGTGTCTTTCCATTTGTGGACAGATCCGAGCAGCGAGTCAACGGTTGACATCTCCCTGTCGGTGGACGTCCTAGGTAGTCTAGGTGAGCTCGTGATGCGGTACCGCACCGTTTTTGCTGCCTTCCCGATTCTGGTAATTGCTTTGGTTCTGCGCAAGCAGTTTCAGGTCTATGACGAGACGGGTTATTTTATCACCTTCGCAGAGGGGTTGGATAGCACACTGCGGTCGTCTTTGCCTATTTTGCTGCTCGCCATGTCGTTGCTGGCTTCTTCCCTGGCTACGTCGACTACGCTGCCTCCAAGCGATGATCCATTTCATTGGCGCACCAACTCCACGGAGTCGCCCGTTGATTTTACGAAGAATGACCTACTGTTGGGATCGCAGGATGCTTTCTTTTGGTTCTTGGTTCCTGTGTTCGGTCTGATCAGTGTGGGCGTGTGCGTGATGATGAATTATGTGGCTCTGTCCCTGCTGTCGGTTTTGTCTTTCTTCTATGGTCTGTTGAACAGCAAGTCAGGGTATATCAAGCGTGATGACAAGGGGTGAGTTGTCCTCTATTATTTTGCATGCACAATGCTGACCATATCAGCAACCTTCCCATCTTTTCGGCCCCTACGCCCAGACGACGGTTGATTAACACCGCTATTCTGCTGATTCTTGTTGCGACTACTATCCCGTATCAGTTTGCCTATATGGTGGCGTGCATCGTGCAGCTCGCTACTTGCGTGCGAGCCCAATGGCATGCGAAAGAGACGGTATGCATACTCGCATTGTTGACTTGCGTTTGCTAATAATCCCAGAAATCTACGACTCATTATAATTTCGCCAATCTTACATACTCGATCTTTCTCCTGATGCTGTGGATCCTGCCGATCAACATCCTTGTCCTGCTCGTGTGGGCACATAACCTTGTGGTGCATTGGTTCATGCCATTCTCCTCCCACCACAATGTGCTGTCAATTATGCCGTTTATCCTGCTCGTTGAGGCCATGACGACAGGAACGATGGTCCCTCGAGTCAGCTCACGGTATGCTCCTTCAATACTAGTGTAATCTCAAAACTAACTGAATAGGCTAAAAAACGTCACCTCCCTCATTCTCTTCGCCCTTGCCATCTACTCCGCAGTCTACGGCGTCTCCTACGGCTACCTTCTCCATCACCTTACTAATCTTTTCGCCGCCTGGCTCGTGGGCATCTACCTCTTCAGCAGCGGCTTCTCACCCCGCCGACTTTGGCGCATCCTAGAAGGCGACGACGCGAACTCCTCGGCCGAACCAGGGAGTAGTCACATGAAGAAAAAACCATAATTCTACTACACCATACATATCTTATCCTTTATTCTTCTATTATATGTCCCGTTGCATCTTACCGGTTGCGGACCATGATTAACGGCGTTTTGCTATTTTTGGAAGCGGCGTTTGCTTTTTGTTTTCTGACCGAGGGTCGATGTACAGGATTGTGCTTGTTATGTGCTCATATGAATGATTTTATACTATATCGTGTTTGAGTGATCCTGACGGAAGGTGGGATCTGTGATGGCGGATGGATGTATCTTATTAGCTTTGTGTGTGTGTTGTTGATACTGTCTGAGTATGAGTGTGTGTTTGTATATACGGTTGGATCTGGAAATAGACTTTGGCCGGGTAATAGTGACGAGAGATGGTGTTGCTGTTCATATTTTTCCACTATCGTCAATGTAGGCGATATCTATAACCTATAATATTTGCACCTCGTGCCTCTTCAGTCAAGTGCCTTGATCATCCAACGCTATATCCAAGCCACATTAGACATGACGCAGCATGTCCCGAAGTAGGATCTACTTTGCTGACCACTTCACGGGCATCTACCACGAGACAAGACTGATTCCAAATCAAGCTGCTATATCTGGTCAGATGCAGTAGCACATTGACCTCATAGAAGACAACCTTCCGAGCCAAGAAGAGATTTAGTTGTCACCAGATAGTTTACAGTCCAAGATAGCCCTGGTCTACGCATTCGTATCTCGACCCCTGCGCATGCATAGCTTGTCAGCTTCCATATATTCTGGTCTCTAAGCACATTCTACATTTCCATATAAAATGATCCGTTCCATATCCCTTAAAGCTATACATGCACTTGATAGTGAACAATCCTGTTAAGATATTCACTACAGCTAGACAGCTGTCAGCTGGTTCTTCGCCTTTTCTTTTTGTATGGTCTCCGACCACCACCTCTTCCAACCAACCAACCCCGAGGCCCCCGAAACATAAGGAACAAGCCAAAATGCTCATCTTCCTCGGCAAGCTAACCTACCCGCCCTACGCCACGAACGAACTCTTCGCCGTCATCTTCAGCAACAACATGCAACAAGGTGAAAAAGTCGCCGTCGTTCACCAATGGACTAAGGATGCGGCCGGACAGGAAAAAGCCAATTCCTTTGCGCAGGGGACTGTTGATAAGGCGGTTATCACGTCGGCGGGGGAGAAGGAGATGGAGTTCTTTTATGGGGAAAGGGAGACGACTTATTACTGGTACTTGCTCTAATTCTTCTTTCCGCTTTCTATAGGAGTATTGATTTCGAACTAGATGAGTGAGTGCTAATGTTTTGGGGTTGTAGGTATAAGGGCACCCAATCCGGGAGTAAATTGACATTGTCGATGTTCAACAAGAGTGGAGAGGAAGTAGTCAAGAAGATTGAGCTCCTGGCGACGTATTATTGATCATTATCTAGTATTCTGCTTTCGTTGTCTATTCAGAGTTCATACATCATGATGCTACTTGCATCAATCTGACAGAAAGGAACAGAACTCAACAAGAAGAAGTCTACGAGCTATAATCCTTCCACTTCCACCTTCCATATCCATGACATGTATGGTTATCGCCTCACCCTCTCAAATACTGCCTCATACCTCTCCAACGCCTCAGTGAACCTCCTCGCCGACTCAGTTGACTTTTCTAAAGCGTCATCTAGTCTCTCCCGTGCTTCGGTATACCTTCGAAATGCTTCGTGGAAGTCATCTTCTGATTTATCATAGTTCTTTTTGGCATCTTCGGTTGCATTTTGTGCTTGTACTGCCATGTCTCGTGCTGAGTGGGCTGCTTCTCGTGCCTGTTCGAGGGCTCCGGTGAGAGGTGAGGGTTCGTGGTCCGTTTGGGTTAGAGGGAGGTGGGATTGGTAGTGGCAGAAAAAGGACATGTTAAAGGTTGAGGGTATATAGGTAGGGAGGTTGCGCCTGAGCAGAGGAATGATGTTTGCCTGTGAAGGTGGATTTGGGGGTCTTGATGGGAAACAGTGGTGTTAGGTGCAGTTACCAAAGCAGCGGTAATATCAGAATGATACTTGAATTTTGCGCGCATATGATGTACATATGACGGCTGATGGCAAATTCCTTAGATTATACTACTTCCATAGTGTATGTTTCTTGTAAATGTAAATGTATGTAATTTCATTCGTTCAAGGAGTTGTGTTTTAATCTTGAGACAATCGGTATCGGCTGATCTTGGTCACATCTATACAGGTCGATTGTTACTCCGATTTCTCAAGATATCTGCAGGAATATGCACGCTCAGAAGCTCAAGAAGAGTCGCTCATGCACAGAACCTTTCAATTTCGCCTCTCTAGAAATTGAATTTGATACTTTATGAGTTCCTCAGCTAGTGCAGAACAAAATATCTGGCAGAGGGAAAGGCAGCACACATCAGCTGCGTCTATAAAAACGGTACACCACGCGCCATCGCCAAACGGCTCGGGAAAACCCGCGGATTCTTGCCAGGCAGCAATTGTGAGAGAAATCAGGCTGAAATATAACTTTTTACTCGAGTGGAACTGAAGATGGTCGCTTGCGGCCGTAGGGGTCGCGGATTTTCTTCCCCATCAAGAGTTGCCGCTTTTCGATTGGAAGTGAATCGAGTTGCGAACAATCAAAGTCAATAATCAACGCCCGGCGTAGCTCGGGGTTCCACAACGCGTTCTGGGGCTGGATATTATGATGTATGACCCCCAGAGAGCGGATCTCCTTTTCAGATCTTTTGACTTCGCGTTTAAAGGACTTGTCCTCGCAATTATCGATCTGCTCTCCTGCCCAAGCCATGAGGAGCATGTGGTTGATCTCGGTTCCATTTGAGAAGTGGGCCATTCTCAAATCAACTGTCCCAAGGACAACAGGGACTGCAGATCCCTGTGCTTGATGAAGTATGCGGTAAATGTCTGCTTCATGAGAGACCTTTTCCTTCCAAAGCTCAGATGAGGCTCCTTTGCCAACCACAGTATACCCAAGTGTCGAAGATGTAATCTTAAATAGTGAGCCGGTTGACGCACAGCCACCGATGGGCGTGCATCCATGGTCAAATTCTTTATTGAGCTGCTTCTCGATTTTCCGGACCAACGTTTCAGGAAGAATCTGGTGATGGTCGTCATTTGCACCTAGCCGGTGCAGCGCTACGTTCGGACACTGTTTGTCCAGACTTCTCCCATGCTGCAGACCAAGCAAGCAACGCTGGGTACAAAATTGAGCTGTACCTTTGTTGGTGTCTTCCCCGCTAGAATCAGTGTCCTCTTAGAGCCCCGATGACTCAGCATTCTCGCTGATTCGACGCTTTTGTCTCCTGGGACCTGTATTGGTATCTGCGTCCGGGGTTAGGTGGCGCCGCATGCGAGTCGGAGTCGGCATCCTGCAGTCTTCTGTCGGCGACATAATAGAAAATTGGGATGGCTGGCACTTTGTCGAGGTGTCTGCGGAGGTGTCTTCGACCGTTGCGGTGTTGGGATTCCGCAAATTTGCTATTCTGCATCGTAGAGCCACTGTATCACATCAAAGCGGTAACCACGTACCATCCCGTCTTTCAAACAAGGGTGGTGCTGACAGCTCAAGGGCAAATGAACTTTCCAAATTACAAACCTTCAGCGTCAGGCATATAGCGATCTTTGGACGAGTTCATGATACTAGGAAGAGTCATAAAGGATTCTGCCTGGCAAAACCCGCATATCAGGAATAGAAGTTTCTGTTCGATCAGTCTAGAGTGACTCAACCTTCCAGACGTTTGAATGCCCAATAAGTTGCCTTGATCAAACGAAGCGCTGAGGTTGGGGAGACACAGCTGTATGGGCACATGTCCTGGGCGTTTGTGTATGATTCCAAGGACGCTTAAATGAGTAACTTTATGGTCGTTTTCACAGGTGTCTTCCGCGCGTGTTTACCCGCGTGTTTGCATTCTTGGCTTGCCAGGATTATGGAAAGCCTAGGTTAATCCAGACTTGTACTAAGCACACCAATTTTGCCCTTAGTAATGTCTACTTCAATCTAAGTATGTACATCAAATAGATGTGTTTGAGGGTTCCATGGGCCCTGGTGGGGTGTCCGCAAGTGGAAGTAACTCAAAACAATAGCAGCAAGGATACAATATATATCACAAGTCCAGGGTGCATTCGTTGCGAGGATTCCTCTATAAAACAATCTCCAATTCAAGTCTTTCTTGCACTAACCTTGGGCTGTAACTGATAGTATGAGAGTGTGGTTAACGAAAGGCGAGCATCTCTATAGTGATCACCGAAAGGACAAAAAGGAGTCCTGAGTGCAATGTTGGGGTAATGGGAATCGAGGTATTCCAATTATGCAGTTCTGGGTGCATGATGAAGGCCTGTACTCATTGAGACTGCTCTCATTGCTCTCAGAGCATGTATTACGGTGTTTTAGAGTAGATGCTGCATCTTTCAATTCCTTTCTTGCTAACTAGTCCTGCTATTCTTCCGCTTCTTTCCTTACCCACTGTTCCTCCACTTCCTGTTTCTGTGATTCATCAGACTCTTGATGTCCTCCATCTTCTTTCAGCTGTTGCTCATTTACTATTTTTCCTTGCATAAGTTCTGTCTCGTGCTTCTTGACTTCTCCACCATGCATCAAATTCTCTTGTTTGTGCTTCTTGACATTTTCTGTAGGCATCAAATTCTCTTCCTATTGCTTCATACATTTTCTGTCGTGCTTCATGCAGTTCTTCTTGTGTTTCTTTTTCTCTTTCTTGTGCTCCACTAGCCATTTTCAAGCACATATCAGCGCGTTCCTCTGCTTTCCTGGTTCTTTCCCTCTCTCTGTCCAGTTCTGCCTTGGCTTCGAAGTAGAGAGCCTTGTAATCCAGTGAGCCCTCACAATCCATATTTCATACGAAGGTGAATGTGATATTGATCAGAATGGTATCAGTCCGGAAGGGTGAGGTGGATGGTTATTGAAGGTTTGACTACCAAAGACTTTGAAGGGGGGGATGGTGGTATTTGTAGATGCAATCATTGATATTTTATGCGAGAAAGTGAGTGTTGCTCGGATAGCGGGAAAACCCGTATAGGGTTCGGGATTTCATGTATAGTTGACTTTAGGCGTAGAACCTGCAGTGCTGTATAAAAATCTAGGCTGATTGCGTTGAGAATTAGACTAGATGACATCAATATTTAAGGGATCAGTAGCATCCATAGTTCTTTTGCTAGATATTGGCTTAGCCGTAAGAACCAAGGATAGATGTCGAGTTACATGGCTGTATTTGGTGGCAAGCCTTATTAGATAACTAGGAACCTGTCATTATGTAGGTGTTTTTCTACTATTAGCGAATAGTTCAATGTGGGAATAAGAGATTCACATTTCAATACTAAAGTGAACACACATATCACTCTTCTCGCTTAAAATCCCACTGTACACTGTTTCGATCAACTGATGAGCCTTTCACTGTCGAAGAACAGTAAACAAAGCATTGTAATTACTTCAACTTATATCTACCAATAATCACGTGTTACAAGGTACACTTATGTTGGGTTTTGTGTTGGTATATGTTAGGCTCAAGACCTAGATGAGGGTTCAGTATCAGCCAATATGTCATAGTCTATAAACATCGACTGGGAACAAGAAGTTTCGGGAGCAAGCTTTACTTTGTAGCCATATCCCGGATGGTATCTCAGCAATTTCCTATGGCTGGTGAGAGGTTAAAAGACGGAGGATTAGAATTTACCACTCTAATAAAAGACAGATATATCATACTCTAAGAAGGTCTGCATACTCCGCAGATTTTCATTCCCAATGTCAGTTGATAGCTAATATAATTGTAATGCGATCTCCGCGGCGGCATTCTATGCCCCGATAGTAGCTTATCTTGATCAGATTCTATCTACGCCTAAAATAGTTGGACTAGAGTGACTATCATACCGACATAGCAGGGATTTACGAATTCTCCTTCAATAGGGTCAAAAGGCAAGTCTATCGGCATCTGCCGCTCTAGAAAAAATCTGTAATAGAAACGACCTCACTAATTCACGGCAACTTCCAATGGCTAATTAGAAATAGCATAGTGAACTGAAATTTACCAGTGTAATGAACGGCAAGTGAAGCCTCCAGAAACTTATAAGTTCTCCATCATTCCCAATGTAGGTTATTTCTTCAGGACAGACATAATATTCACAGTAGCAGGCACTTCGGTCACCCTTTGTCTGTTATGGGGCTTGTTATTCCTCATGTGAATTACCCATGTTTGAATTGACTTTTTAGTGGCCTTAGAACATGGATATGAAAACTCTAGACCTCCGCAGTCTCCCCTCAGTGCCTTTTCCCCGGCTATATGCCATCTTCCTTCCAAGCTTTTCAACAGATCTGCGGCCTCGTCGGGATTCCTTTCGTTGGAATGGGTCACTGTCGAACGCCTTACTCAAATAGCCCCAACTCATTTACCAATAGTGACGAAAATGGCTACATAGGCAGGGTACACCATCAAGTCCGGGGAGGTCCCGAGACGAGCAGCCAATATTTCATGATGAATCTGACTTCGTCTTCGGTTTTCTGTGTTGTTATCTATATAATATTATGGAACGAAGAAGCTTCATTGTCGCTAGGCCCGAGTCTGAAGGAAGACAGCCAGATTTGGGCACAAAGCTAGTTTGATCGCTAATTTGCCAAGGGTCAGAATCACTGACCAACAAAAAAGGGCATCATCGCAAACCATAATGATTCCTGGGGTCCGTGCAGTGATGCTACGTGTACAGAAGCTTCACCTTCGGCACACAGACATTCCAGTATCACCTGGAAGGTAGGCACCACTGGGCTGAGAATACTCTCCACAGAAAGGGGGAGGTGTTTGGTGACCCTGCACCTGATCTATGACCAGATGAGCCTTGGTTGATTCTCGATAGCTGAAAGCCATTATAATTACTATCAATTATTTACCTTTATCATGGTCTCGACTGAATTCCTCAATGTCTTCAAGCAATTATCCCGGAGTGGGGATCTGAAAGTGGAGTGAAAAGTTCCATCTCGGTTCTGGCATTTCCACATAGCGAGAATGACATGAACATGTCTAACATTCAGTATGAATTGCCCCTATGCTGGGCAACTTTGTGAGCAGTCCCTCTACTACGGACTACTGCATTCAGCGTAAACGCTCTTCACTCGGTTGGAACAAGACCTCCTGGGAGATGCGCTCCTTCAATTAAGCCATGTCAGTTCTGCTGTCAACACTGCAAGCTTCTTTGGGCTGTTCTGGACTATGTTGCTTCTGTCAAATCTGGCTGTGGAGGGCGTGGGCCGCCGACCCAGGACTTCAGTGTGAGAAGGCGCAAAAAGAGCGCAATGAAACTCAACAAGGTGCTATTATCATTGAACACATTGAGGCACGCCAGAGCCAGGCAGCGGACTTATCACATATAAACGTTGCATTCCCTCTGACGAAGCCTTGCTCAATCTCCGTCTTTTCAATACGGTAGGTACCTCACTCTCGCCTGCTTCAATGCATGGACACTAGGATTTACTTATGTGACGTGGCAAGGAGCTCCGGGGGCCAGTAAGCAACAAGCTGTTGCTAACGCTGTTATTACGCCTGGTCGGTCGTCCCTTATGATGAGATCTTTTCTCACAAATGCTTCAACAAAACTATCAAGTGGAAAGCAATGCAGAACTCACGCTTTTCCAACAAATTCAGCATGGCGCAAGAAATACAAAATAGAAAAATACCATGTACACATAATAAGAGATGTGGCTGCTGTCTATTGCACCATGGTGTGGGATGAATGCAGCTTGTCTCTTGAGCAGAAGCATGGCGATGAAGAGAATGCGATTCAGGCACTCAAAGGATCTGTCTGGGGCAATTCTGAGGCACCAATCTGGATTTTGTAATCAGGCGCGCTCTTGATTGCCCGTGAAAGTGTTCCCTGGCTCTCTCCTTATATACGACAGAGGACTGACTGCAGGATGCTAGCCATGGGCAAGCCTTGGAGATTTAAATCTCCTAATGCTCTTCGACATGGCCATTACTTCTTGATAGTATATTGCATCAAAACCCAACTTCCAAAGTCGATTTAAATTGGCCAAACCTACAGTGGCTCACTGCTAATCTAGATATGAATAATCAATCTTGTCTCGTCAACGACTGGGACATCGAACAGTTTGTGCATCTCGTATGGTTGACCCATTACTTCCAGAATCAAGTGTTCTGCTTGTTCACGCAGAGCGTATCAAGCGCAAGCCCTCCATTATATCTTGGTCAGACGAGCTCAAATATTTATAGAAGGGCAACTATAGTGTCAATCGGCAAATTGAGGCACACCTTATGCCATCGAAAAACTATGAGTCCTGCATCTGAATTGCCAATGCAGGATCTTTCTGATCTTGGGGTCTATATGTATGTGGAAGCAAAAGCGTTCTTATTGAATACTACATCAATATTATCCTCATATCTCAATACAGCGGGAACGGGCGGTTTCAAGTGTTTGTATATAATCCCTCAATATCTCAAGGCACGCGTTGGTGGTTGGAGAACACGTAGGCAAAGATAGCGATATAGCAAGATATTCGCCAGAGATTAGAGTTTTGGAGATGCTTCTTCCACATCAAACTCAGTTGTGCAAAGTAAGAATGTGTCCTTCAGAGCCTGTAATACATCAGCACCTGTAGCCCCTTAACTACCAGACACTAAACTTACCGACAATCGATATTTTTCGTTGATCTCCTGGTAGTCCTCCCCAGCAAGCATATCACAAAAGTGGCGGATAGAAGGATAATGCACGATAGATATCTCATTCCACCAATCCTCCTCCTTTCTCTCCCAGTTTCCTCTCGAGTCCACGGCATTCGCAGTTCCAGACTTTGGCTTTACCACGTTACCCACTATCTTTGCATCCCCGCCTCTCTTTCCAGCCACAGGAATGAAAGACTGCCCATACTGGTAGTAGCTCTTCTTCCCATTCGGGTGGTTGAAGTGAAGCAGATTGAGCATCGTTACAGGCCCCGAATGCTGAGGTGTAAGCTTATCCATAAAGTTAAGGAGATCGGGTGAGAGTTCCAGGCTTTGGGAGGTCGGTTTGCTGCGTGCCTGGTCTAAGGATCCAGTCAATGGGACGGATGAAGCAGCGCGCTTAAGGGACTCGTCTCGTGAGGCGTAGGTGGCGAGTAATTTGGAAGGTATTCCCACTGCTACATGGTACTGGGTCTTTATTTGAGATTGAAGAGTAGAGGGGATCGGAGGTGAATCCGATGGCGGTTGGATGAGAACGAGAAGATCCCAAGGCGTCTTGGTTAGAATGTCCTGGTCGAGGACTGTGGGACGAATCACGGCATGTCGCGGTCTAGAGCTTACGATCACGGTACGAGAGGAGCGGAGGGAGTTGAGAAAGGTGCTTGTGTCGGTAGTGAGTGCAAGCAGATAGAGGGATGCGACTGGCATATTGGGCTGTGGGTCGTATAGAGGCCAAACAAAGGTGTCAAGTGTTATCTATATGTAGGCAATTTTGAAATCACCGTAGAGGCTGGTATTGACAGGTGCGGTCTAAGCCTGAACGTTGTCTTGTTTATTATCAGATCGACTTTGCAAGTAAAGACAAGGCGATACAAAGCAATATCCTTAGAAGGGACATGGAGAGGAGAGACGCGGAGATGGCGGAGATGCCTCGGCTGTCGGTCCCCCCGCACGTCACGTGGCACCCCACATTCCTGCATTTCTCCGTTTGGATAGTTTTATTTGCAACCTGCAAAGCAACTTTATCTGTGACAGAAACCACTCGGGATGCCGATATCGGCAGTACTCTATACTTGAGGCTTGTTACAAGCTATCATCGGGGTTGTAAGCCACCTAGAAAAAACAGATCCCGCCTTGCCGTCTCTGGGATGGATCCTTTCAGAGAACTATGACGCAGCTGTGGGAGGTCCAACACGCTACGGCTCACTGGGGAAGCTAAAACGTCTTGGAAAGGCAGGTAGGAGAGACTCGAAGACTCTATGATGGCATGATCGGCAGTGAACTGGCGATGGAAGCATTGGAGCCATGCCGTGAAGAGGGTTCTTCTCCGGGATTCCAGCCTCGGGTTGGCTTCTCCGAATGGCGGAGATGCGAATAGCCTAATTTCCTCCTCAACTTCCCCACATCTCCTCCAGTTTTGGCCGCGTGCGGAACAGACTTTATCCTCCACTACGATCGCGAAACAGGCAATTTTGAATTCGCATAAATACCTGGGGAGCCATGGTCTCTGTCGGCGTAGCAACCCATCTTCACTAGCACAATGAGGGGCCGTACGTTCATCGCCAGCCTGAGCTTGCTGTATAGCTGTGTACCAGCAGATGCCAGTCTCACTGTACTCTTCCAGAATGACGGCAACTGGACAACACATGCTGAAAAGCCCAGCGCACTCTTCGTCAACAATGCTTTGACCTACCAAGATGCGCAGGAAACCTGTGCGCAGTACAATGAATCACTTCTTAGCTGCAAAGACTATCCCGACTTCCATTATTCATTCACATACCAACAATATTTGAAGAACATTGGCTCAGATCAGCTCTTCTGGTCTTCTTGCAGCTCAGACCGTCCGACAACATGGAACGGCGAACTAGCCAATACTTCCTCGCCTGCTGGTCTTCCCTTCCTATGCTCCAACTCCGCCAAGTTCGTCAAGCAAGTGTATACCGATTATTCTGACTTCCCAAGAGTCAATGCTAGCGCCAATGGCGTCACCTTCGAGGGTCTGCGCGACCATATGGCATTCCGCTTCATGGGAATCCCCTTCGCCCAGCCTCCCGTGGGAGAGCTTCGCTTTAAATATGCCCAAGAATGGGCTAAGAGCTCTTACGTCATCGCCACCAGATACGGCCCTGCATGTATCCAATCTGGCTGGTATGACGGAAACAGCTACGGCCTCAACCCCTGGGGAAATAGCGAGGACTGCTTGCACTTGAACGTCTACACGCCTTCTCTTCCATCAGCCAAAAACGAAACAAATTCCTACAGGCCAGTAATGCTCTGGATCCACGGAGGTGGCGAGACTTCAGGAACCGGTGCCGACTCCACTTTCGACGGCGATAGCTTCGTCAGCCGCAACGACGTCGTTCTAGTCACCATAAACTACCGGGTCAACATCTTCGGCTACCTGAGCCTCGATGACTCTACCATCCCCGGGAACGCTCAACTCTCTGACAAAATTGAGGCGCTCAAATGGGTCCAGAAATACATCCGAGCCTTTGGCGGAGACCCCAACAACGTGACCATCTTCGGTCAATCCGCCGGTGCTTCGTCCGTCATCGATCTCCTCACTACCCCCAAAGCCAACGGCCTTTTCCAAAACGCCATCGCCCAGTCCATCGCCGGCCATGTTGAGACCTCCAACGCTTCAGCTGCCGCTATTCTCCCTTACATTCAGCCCCTCTGCAATAACACTACGGGAACTCAGCGCCTCAAGTGCCTGCAATCCCTCCCGGCTGAAACTCTCCTGAACATCAGCTCCTACGTAACTTGGGACACCGTCATCGACAACCGCTACATCTTCGACTACCCACTCACCCAGATCGCTAAAGGCGAGATCAACAAGGTCAACTTCATTACCGGCTTCATGCCCGAGGAGGCACAATCCATCCTCCAAACCACTATCTCCCCCAACGCAACAAATTTCACCACCACCCTCCAAACCCTCGTCAACAGCGGCTCCATCACAAAGTCCGAAGAGGACGCGGTGCTCTCCTCCGACCTCTGGAGAAACTACTCCACTCCCTACAATGCAACCATCCACGTTGACTCGCCCGCCAGCATGACCTGCTACTCCAAGGAATTTGCCTCCGTAGGCGCAGCATCCCACGCATACAAAAGTCTCTACGTGTACCTGCACCAGCGCGCCTACGGCCTAAACTACTATGACTGGTATGATCTCTGCACGTACCCCGTTGGCAAGCCCGACACACCTTACTACAAATGTCACTCTGGAGATCTGTATGAAGTGTTCGGTACGTACTATCTGTTTGATTTGCCGGTCCGTGCACCGGAGGATATCTATTACACAAACATGGTGCAGGATATGTGGGCAGCCTTTGCCAGACACGGAGATCCGAATGTTGATGAGGAATATCTTCGTGCAAGGGGGTACTTCAGCAGCCTGAAGTTGATGGAGAGGTGGCAGTGGGATGAGTTCACGGAGGGAAGTGGAAGCAATAACGTGGCTAATCTGCAGTATCCCGTGCCAATTTACTCGGGATTGCCGTATATGGAAGAATGTGCTGTTTTAGGCCTGGAGCATACCAACTAGAGAGATAGAATGCATTATGCAAGATATATAATCGAGACAATCACTCTAGCTAGTACGCGTTGTTTCTTCATACAAACCTCGAACGATGCAACACGGCGATGCTCCGGTATCAACTCAGTAACCCTCACTGCAACGGCCAGCTACGCCATTTCATAGGCCAAGTCTTTTCTTCTCGATCCGACGGCCAAATAGACCCGAAGATCTCCAAATCCATACTCCGCATCGTCCCCTACGTTGGTTTTACCTAAGTTCGAGGTGGTGGGATCCACGAGGGTGAGATATCTGATATGCGGCAAGACGAGAGTTGCGTCTAGCAATTGAAGCACGCGATGAGGTGGCTCGTCCGACTTCGGGCGGAGAGAGGCGGAGGGTAAGATCTTTATAGAGACTCGGCGCCGTAATCTGGTTCCACTGGCGGTTCACCTGTGATAAAGCCCGCAGGGTTTCCCACAACACATCGCGAACCTAGATTCCGAATTAGTTAGTTTCGGATGCTAATCACAGTATTCTTACTATTCCAGCGATTGAATGCTTTAGCTCCAGGGGTAGGCAATCCATGTTCAGACGTCCGTAAGATGGGAGTGGAAATGGTGAAATGAGGTAGTAACGGGGTATTGTACATAAAGGACAGTTGTCAGGTGACTATACTCATCCCTATGGTATATAATACGTTTGCGCTAGTATTAATGGTTCACATTAATCTCTTATCAGCCGTATTACCAGGAAGGATGTTATTCTTGTCGGTGTTGATATCTAGAGATAGTCAGCCATATGTTGAGCTGCTGATGGCATTTCCGTTCCGTTTCTAAAGCAATCTTATTTCTAGACGTTGAGGTGACACAGCGAACCTCATATCAAAGGACAGTGTCGATGTCCGAAATCAGATAGCACACGTCCAGGGTTTGAAGCTTCAACAGCTGGAAGAAACGCTCCTCGATTTCAGCAGGACCAGGATAATATATCCAGTTATGTAATTCCCTTTATAAAGCCTCAACCGCTTTCCCTACCGACAGGCGATACGAAAAAATACTACCAACAAGGTTATTGTGCCAATTTGCTCTTTTGTGTGCGAGGCTGCAAATGCCATTTCTGTGCGTTCCTGCAGGATCCAGCATATGACCCATGCTTCATGCAATCAAGAGACATTGGAATTCCAAAGGAACTGCGGAACTCTTACAGGAAAGCTAACACGCCTTAATGATAGCTAGGCAAAGTCATCAGTGAACTTATCGAGACTTCAACCAGGTAGACATACTGTATATAAACAAAGGGCTGCAATTTGTGTCTAACTAATTCATCCAGAATTCGGGTCAGCTGACCTATCACTACCACCTCCACCGATCGCATTGACTACAGACCAAGTCGAAGGAACTTTGAATTAAGATCCGCACTAAGGACTGGTCTTATCGACCCTGTTGACTCGCCTATTTTAACAGTACAAATCTAATAATCGGTATCATAACCTAGGAGCAAGAGAGCGCTCTACAATTACTGCCGTGAGCTCCCCAGACTTCCAGAATCCGAAAATGATACAAATGGAGCCAAAGGAGCACCAAGCTTATGCTTGAGTTTAGGGTACCAATGCGAAATCATTATTGACCTGTTGAACAAGAGGAAGAACGCCTCAATTGTTGGAATGCGCTCTTTGTCGACGATAGGGCAAAAACAGGGCGGGGCATATTCGAGGATATGCGTAGAGACTGTGGGAGAAATCCAAACGCTTGTTTCTCACGAGAGGAGGCTTATGAGACTAATTGATGATGTTTCTGATTTGTGTTGCTTGTCTTTTGTTGATGATATGTTGACGGTCGTCTCCCTTTTGCCTTTCAGGCAAATACTACGTCTCTCGCCCAAAATTATGGAGTTCGAGTTGTACAATAAGCATTTGTAGCTATTATACATTTTCAAAATCACTCAAACCTATGCCAAGATTTCTTGGAAGGCTTTGTTTCTCGAGATTCTCCTATGGCATTCCAACACACCCATGATAGCAACAACCTCCAATTTGCCGGCTTTAGAAGGCTAACATATCTCCGTCCGCAAAGCTTATGGTTTCATTCAATGATCCTTCCACATACATATGGTCAGTGACCGGTTCATTCTGTCTCCCTTATTCCCAATGCTCATTTTCAATCGAACATGGCTCCATTCCCTTCTTCATCGATATCACCGAAGAGACTGGCGTTTCATCACGCCCTGATATCAGCATCCCTAGACTATTCACGAAGTCATGCTCTCATTGAATTCGCTCAGTCAATCTTGCATCGATATTTCTTGTCTAGATAGTTGATTTTCACTAGCTTGCTATCACCGCCGCATCCAGTGGCCCTTGTTCTCCAGGTATAAATATCTCTCTCAATTCTGACTTTGATCTCTTTTTCCTCCCATCTCCAATCATCCCTTATATTTCGATCTCTCTTTCAATCAAGAACTTAGAAGAACAAATAAAAATGAAAATTATGATCCATGAAATTTTATGTACATACAATCAATAGCATATAGCGAGCCTTGCCCTAATATTGAATGAGGGCTTAGTCTAAAGACTGAGCCTACGGGCACCAACTATATATTGGCAGATAGCAATATTCAAACAGGTAAGCGTTCTAAGCTTTCATGCAGGCAGTTTAATTGTCTTCTCCGACCTCCTATCTTAGCGGGAGTGGTTGTCTGATCGTTTTCTTTGTTTCTTTTCCCCCCTCCTTTTCCTATTCTGTTTGGCATAATGCTGTTCGAGTCCATCAATCGAGCACACGTTATGCGTGCACAACCTAAATATCAATGACATACCAATAGCTAACGCCATAAAAGTACATAGATTTGCCCTACTTTATGCTGTTAAACCCAGCATTTTGGGTTTACTATACCCTTAGAAAGGAAACGAAATTTTAAACGGAATTAGAAAAAAGATTCTTGATAAAATCGAGCAGTACGCACACTTTTTCACTGACAAATCGAAGAGTACATAGCCTTACAATTTACAGTGGCCAAGTATGGCACTAAGCAAGAAAACTCTTTCAAACTTCGATGATCCTATTAGGTTGATCCCCCTAATTATCTAATTAGGGAAAGGCCTCTCTTGAGGATTTAAAATTCAAGGTAAGTTCCTTCTAGTACTCAATGTACAACAACTACCATCTGGTGCTTCTGTGTTTGTGATGCATATTTTTGAGCCTTTTCTCAGGTACTGTATGATATAAAATCCAAGTTTCGGTCATTTAACTTCAAGGAAATTCCTTCAGTGCAAATTAACTTCCCTTCTGACGTCTTAACTGTACACAGATAATGCTTACAGATCGCAACCGCGATAATGTTGTTATTTTTAAAACGTTGTTAAAAAGGTAAGTCTGACAACTCAACTTCCAAAATGCACTCCTCTCGCAAAGCCCAAAATGCCAAAGAGGGTAAAGAACCAATCCAGCATCAATGACTACTTCAAGAGGAAACAGGATAAGGTCAGTGACCTTGGTCCAGCTATCTCTCTTCGAACAAACGTCACTGGGTCTGCGATCTGGGTTATGGTTCATATAGGCATAGCAGCGGCTGCAAAAACTATATTCGAAGGATACAGCTGATATGTGGTAGGTAAAGGTATATATATGCATTGGAGGATGCCGGCGTAGTTATCCCAGAAAGGGTTCTACCCCCAACTAGTAAACTGACCGAAGGTCAGAAGTTACAGAAGGAGCTCCGTGAGGAGCTACAGAGACTGAAGTCACTGGAGCAAGAATACCGTGATCAGTACAATGAGAAGAAGGAAAGGTGGACTTCCACACGGAAGGTGTTGGTGGATGAACTCGCAGCTCTTGACCAGTCATACCAGACCGAAATAGAGCCCGATGAGAAAGGGTTGAGTGATGATGATGCGAACTTAGAGGCTGTTGTTGCTGAACTCAAGAGCTTAGTTTGAAAGACTGATACCAACCTAGTTGACATAACAGCGAGCTTGCTATTATTAATATAAGACCAAGACTTCAGCAGCAAAAAGAAAAGTAAGAAAGTAAGAAAGTAAGAAAGTAAGAAAGAAAGAAAGAAAGAACAAAGTGTTCGAGACTGGATGTAGAGGCCACAAAAGGCAGGACATCAGGTGATGTGTCCACAGTAAGAGGACTGCATCTTTGGCATCTCAATATTCCGTCTCTTCCGTCTCGGCTACCATCTCCATCATCCTCATTACCTCCACCATCACCACCATCACTACAACCACTACTACTACCACTACTACTACCACTACTACTACCACTACTACTACCACTACTACTACCACTACTACTACCACTACTACCACTACTACCATGCCCGGTAAGTACCACCTCTGACAATTGCGCATCAATATACACCTATCAACCCATACTTACTGTGTTCTTTTAGCCAACGAAGTGAGTATACTCTTGAATACTTTATATCACTTATTTCCTCGCGTCCCCTCGTCAACAACAGCATTCAATCGAATAGTATACAACACCTCACACTATCATCACAATCTAGCTCATATGTGTTATACTTGCTCCTGATACTAACTAAAGTTTATTGTAGGAGCAGCAGCAGCAGCAGCAGCAACAGCAAGAGCAGCAACAGACCGGGCCGGGGCCCGCCGAAACTGTTAGTACCAGATACCATTGTTTTCATTATGATAGTATCTAATGATATACACATAGACCCCGGAGGAGGCCGCCGCGAAGGCGCAGAGGCGGCGAGAGCTGATGGAGGAGATTTTTCGCCTGGAGGACGAGTATATAGACCATCTCCTAAATGTCGAGGAGAAACAGCGGCGCTGGAATGAGCGGAGGGAGGTGCTGGTGAACGCTCTCGCGGCCGTTGACGAGTACATCCGCCACATGGAGGAAAATGAGTGGGAGGACGATACTGAAGACGCCTGAGAATGAGAACTTCTTTTTTTTTCTTCTTTTTATGAATATACTTTATTACTTCCTGAGTAGATGTAGTCCGCCACATCCCCGTACTAAATGTCGCAAGACCCATACGATCTACGAAGCCTGTAAGAATGCCCCACTGGTGTGCATGACATCCTTCGCCAGTATGGACTCGCTGCAGGAAGGGAATCAAGCGACCATAAAATACCAGTAGAGACCTAGAAGGATGGCTGTTAAGAGAATGATCCCAAGGCAGATACATTACCACTTTCTACCGAGTACACATTCAGCGCAGGGGGCCTTACTTTATAGTATTGGCGGTTGCCGTGGCCGGTTGGCCTTAAAACCTCGCTTTCCAAGTAGCCAGTGTCTTCCCCGGACACTATCATCTTGTCCTCTACGGTGTCTTTTTCTAGGCTGATCCTATCTCTCTCTCTCTCTCTCTCTCCCTTCCTTAAAGCTCGCTTATTTCCGTCAGCACCTCATCTACCCTTCGCTAGGAGATCACCTCATATTATCACGAGTCGATGAGCCGCGAGCCTCTCTGTTCCCATCCGCGTTAGTTCGATCATAATCGGCGACTCTTCAAAGATCCGTACCCATTTTAGACTCAGCCGCTGACCTCTTGCTTTTCTTTAGTGCCATCCCCATTATCCGAGGCTCTCAGTCTCCACGAATCACGTCAATCATCCACGAGAAAGAACTCATCAACATCTGCTACCTCCCTCCACCCGGCATCCCTCTCCATACCACTCCCCTCTCCACACCACTCGCTTCTCATACAACGATGCGAACTACATCATCTCAAGAACACCACTCGTCATAACCAACCACCGTATCAGAGTCCAGCCCATGATCCACAGCAAACAACCAGCCAGCTAGTCCTACCACGCATAACAACCATACTAGCGAGGCTAGTACATATGAACCAGGAGGAGAATCACGATTGAAGTTGAATCATTGTCCAAGAAACGTGTCAGTGCTAATGTTGTTGCAATTCCTTCCAGTAAGCCTTCCTACATTTTGATATCGAGCACTAGAGTTCAGAGTCTCCCGCCAGCGCTGATCTTTGGATCTAGTTCAAGTACTAGGTCGAGCTTTTGTTCCCAAAGCATCAGTCAATAGCAAGCGCCTATGACTCATACTGTACGATATGACTTTATAAGGTTCCATGCAAGGCGCGGTCCATAGACGGGTGGCTGGATCAGGTGTCGACTATTAGCCAGCAGCTTTGTCGGGTTCTCGCTGATATTGAGTTGCGTGTCAGACACTGCATCAGTGTCAGCTAGATAAACATGCTGACTTATTCTTTTCTATGTCAGTACCCCAGGTAACCGTGTTACGCATGTGCTTTTGGTTGCTCCTTCAAAGCGCCGTTGGTTCGATATGGACCATTGGACTAGAAAGCTGGCAAGCAAGTCTACATTGAGCTTGTAGATGTCCCTCCGTCCGGCTTTAGGACCGTACTCTTGCTATAATGATGCTTTCTGACAGCTAGGTCATTTGTATTATTCCAAGACTTATTCTCACAAGAAGTCCGATTTTGTGCTTTAGAGGCTAGGAAGACTATGTCATATTGGCTTGCTGCTCAATGGTATGCGCGTCCTTGGCTGCTGATAGTAAAGAAGATGAGTGCAATACAACAAGTCTTGTCTGGTCGCCGACGAGCGGTTTGGCGGCAGCCACGAGTCTTAAGTTTGAACATATGTCCACTTCAGCGCAACATATCATTCGCTTGCTGCTTCCTGCTTCGTGAAGCCATTCCTGTAGTATCTCAACCGATCATATACCCGTAGCCCAGCCTCTCTGCATCCCCTCATGGTCCAATATGCCTTTTTCGCCACTCCCAGTAGCTTTCGGTATGGTCGTGTTGTGGGACAATGTATCAATCAGCGTGGTCCCGTTGGGGCCTTCTCACGTCTTGTTCTATGTACATCTTGGCGATACAAGTGGTTGTTCACCCCATAGACTGCATAAACGCTTTCTCATCTTAACACATCCGTTACACGTCAATAATACCGGCCCGTTTAGAGGGTCCATGTTCTCTAGATTGCTCAAGACTGATCAACTTTGATTAGCACGAGGAACTTCCACAAACGAGCCACGGGTGTAAGTCACTAACATTGCTCCTTTCCCATTTCCAACCTGCACTTGGCACGCCTATTAAAAGCTGACACAAGCGCCGGTTTGAAGATGACAAAGGTGTCACCGTGGAAGGTTTATGTTAGCTCAAGGTCTCGACTGTAATCTAAATGGGAATTTGCGGGCAAGACAGTGATGCTTTGAGGGTGAGAGTAGCGAGAATTGGGGTCAATTCATATATTGAGTGGATCATACCTACAATAGCCAGCATTACATTTCAGCGCTCATCTTGGTCTCGCTTCTTGGCGATCAACACCGGACACCGCGTGAAGGTGTGAGCATGTGGCTGGGTCACATCGTCCGGCTACTGCACCATAGCCGCACCCTATGATGCAGTACCAGGTTGGCAGATGCCTTCCTGGAGGGCGATGCGTATGCCTTGCATACACTTCAATGACACTCTATGTGTCAATGAAACCCCTTAACGAAGTCCCGTTCTACCATCACAACAGTGGCAGACGGGTTCATGGAAAACTCCCACGTAAACTTCGATATTTGCGGTCGGAGTCTCTTGCTTCTAACAATGGGTGCAATATCACGACCGGCCGTCACCTCAGTTCTCCTTGATCTGGCTCCGGCTTTAACGAGACGGTGTAGTGGGCACGCGATGTCTCTTATCCTCGATGTAATGACAATCACACCGAGGACACATTGTTGTGGCCGACTATGGGTTCACAAGATCTCCCGTCGTCAAGTCCTCAACAAGTCCACAGTTGCTATTGCTGCAAACTATGGGTGCTTTATCCTTGCGTAGTTAACGCATCTGATCCAGCCCTTGCGGCCCTGGATCATCAGTCGTCCGCATGGAGCCATTGTGGGTAAGCGTGTAAAACACTTCAGTCCACCGGCAGCGCGGGTACCTTCAGAGGCGCCATATATTGGTGTCCTCTTCCGACCATAGCCTTTTGCTGTTTCTTGTTGAAACAGCAGACATGACACAAGAGTTTACCTGAGAAGAGGAACTAGAGCAATGCATGCGACTATTGCCCCATGCAAATGTTTCTGAGACTCGAGCTGTTCGCAACAAACTCAAACTGTTCGCAACAAGCCCAAGCTGTTCACAACAGAAATCACCTGTTTGCAACAAGCCCAAACTGTGTTTGCAACAAGCCTAAGCTATGTGCAACAAGCTTTCATCAACTGAAACCACCCACGTCCTCTCCAGCATTCTTCCAGATTGCAAGGTTTCCTGCAATCTTGGCCGAATTCAGTTACAGGAAGGGCCCCTTTGTGCCAGTCAAGACTGTCATGGTTCGGCAGGTACCCGGCATAGTGCCTTTGGCAATTCCTGAACAGAGCAAAGTCTAGCTATAGCTAGACTTTGCTCGGTGCAGCTATCCAAGCGACGGTGTGATCCTACAGAGGTTTCACAGCGGGTATTGCCCAGGTGATCCATATCACCAGGGACAAAACCGCACCCGTCGCCATGAATAGGAGGTAGAGAGCCTCTAAGACTACTCCCCTCTCAAAAAACAATTTGAGGACCACCCTCGCGGCTTGTCAGTCGCCCTACGCAAACTTTGCGCAAAGTGACATTGACATTGACAGTGGATGGATCGCCAATGTGTAAGTGACTATCACTTCTTCGATCTTGGCATCACCATCGACATCGCCGGGGTTAAAGAGACTCTTCTCATCCCTGACGCTACCACTGTCATCGACTCCAAGCTATAGTGAATGCCGCTGGCATTCAAGCTTGTCGTTTGGTGACGACTTAGCATTGTGGACTCTGTCCAACTTGCTATTCTCACCCAGTATTCTGGGTCACTGACCCGGAACACTTTGGATGATGAAGCCGATATACACTGTATACTCAGCTCGTCGTCTAGTGACAGATTTAGCGTGCTGGACCCTTGGCCAGCCTGCTATTCTCATCCATGTTTCTGGGTCACTGACCCGGATACACTTTGGATGAGAAAGCTGATATACCTTGTATACCAAGCTCTCTGTCGTGTGATGAAACAGTGTGCTGGACCTCTTGGCCAGCCTGCATTTCCAGATGAAACTCAATACACATGTATCAAGCCGCCGTCTAGCGACGTATCATCCTGCTGGACACCTTGGCCCAGCTTGCAGTTCTTGATGAAGCTGACATACACTGTATATCAAGCTCGCCGTCTAACGACATATCAGCGTGCTGGACCTCTTGGCCAGCCCGCATTCTTATCCGGTCTTCTGGGTCACTGACCCGGAAGCGCCTTTGGATAAGAAACTTGATATACAACCAGTATATCAAGCTCTCAGTCATGTGATGAAGAAGTATGCTGGAAGCACTCCAGCTACTATCACCAACACTCGTCCATTCCATCGTCTGGGTCCTTGACCCGAAACAATTTCTTGGACGAAAGGGCTGATATGCTTCAAGCATAACGAACCCACCGTCTGGTACCACACGACAACATACTCGCCCAATTTGTGATCTGGTCTTCTAGCCCGGACACGTTATTTGGACGAGTGAAGTTGTACCCAAGGTACCCCGTGACCTTTGTCAAGTCGTCAGCGATAATATACTTCTTAGATTATATTGACTTGCCTTTTCTGCTGTTCTTCCAATATTTGGAATTCCCGAAGAGGCCAGAGGTCTGAGGTGGTGGTGGACGGCTGATTCCATAATTGTTAGCCTAGGTCGCAGTATGCCAACAAGCAAAAATAAACACGCAAGATTGTCATAAAAGTGTTGCATTTCATTTTCCATCGGTGAGTTGAGGGGAAGGCAAAACCTGTGAAGCAAAGATACATAGTAAGAGAGTAGCAAAGAAGACTTACATTTTTTTCTGGCTACTCCCAATAGAAGCAGCCCCTCAGCTAGTCATGATACCATGACTCGCCAGGCAAGATGATGGGGGAGGGGAGTACAGAAGGGAAGTACATGAGGGTAACGAGAGAGAGAAGGAGAGGTGAAGGAGAAGAGGAGAGAGTAGATGATGGGGGAGGGGAATACAGGAGGGTGATGAGAGAAAGAAGGAGAGATGAAGGGGAAGAGGAGAGCGTGATGAAAGAGATGAGACGAAAGAAAAAATGGGATGAAGGAACAGATGAGATGGAAGAAAAAATGAGATGGTGGAAGATATGAGATGGGGGAAGAGATGAGATGGAGGTGGGGAACGAGGTGAGGTGAAGATGAGAGGAAACAAGCGAGCAAGAAGAGAAGAATCATGGCCCAACACCCCGTGACCGCCCAAAAAAGACACCATTTCACGTCACTTAGAAATATATTGGCGGGGCAGCCACTGTGACTGTAATCGAACAGTATTGTCAAATGCATGGTACCATTGCCTGGTCCCACTAAGTTGATAGTAGTCACAATAAATCTGCATCATATCCCTGTATCCTAAGATACAAAGTATTGGACAGCAAACTGTTTATGTAGTTGCTCGATGGTCGACTTTTCCGACTGTCTCTTCCCCTACTACATGCAATACGAAGAATAACACGCGCAGTAAAATAAGATTGTCGTACTTCAGGCTGTGGTGTCCTGATATAACCTGCTACATGCATCAAGAATATGTGAGATGTGCTATTCTTGTACTCACTACTGTCATTTGCGGCTTTGCCCAGTCATCTACCTCTGTATCTGTCTAAGCTCAACCAAAACCACATCACCTCCTCTGTAAGGCTCCTCCGTCTTCCCTCTTGGGGCACTCTGTCCCGTATCATGCGAGTTATGGCTCTGCATCGAGAGTGCAGAATGATTATGCTTGTCTCTATCGCTGAATTGTCCGTAGCCATGATGATATAGTAGCACAACTCGACATTTGAATCACCCGCTCTGCTGAGTGGGCAGCAATATATTATTTGGGTATCGAATCCCTCCTTGTGTCATCCTCATTGTCCTCAGTTCCCAATTGTCCGACATATGAGGTCATTTCTCCCCAACCAAGCTTGTCTAACCCCCCATAGGCTACCCATGTTCTGGTTGTTTCTATTTGCACGGAACTCTTTCCAAGCATTCCTATTAGAATATCTGCAGTATAACAATCAACCTCTACATTCTTTGAGGCAAGTATGGTAAGCTCCTGAAAACTCCCAACCAACTATCCCGTCCATATTCGCATCGGGAGTCTTTGGAGGAGGCGCCTCTTCCATCTCCTCCGGAGCTTCCTGAGGAGGCTCAGGTCCTGATACGGGCAGTCGTTGGAGAGCTGATGGTTTCTGCTACCGCTTCGGTTCAAGTAGAGCGGCTAAGCTTGCGAGGTCTACCTGAGCGAGGCAGAGATTCTAGTTGTTGTAATTTTGAAAGTCTTCTTTTTTGCGATAAGCTGTTGAGTGCGAGACGCTAAATAATGGGCTAGTTTCACGATTTGCGCTGATTTCTGTTCCAAAAGACCTCAATTTGGTGGTGTGGTGGAAGGTGGAAGGTGTTGGGTGTTTTTTTAGACGCGTGACGCGGGAGCGGAATGTCCTGAGACTTTTTGAGCAACTAATGTATGTCAAGGATAGGATTTTGTTCCACATAGTCTGAGGAAACGTATTAGAAATTGTGTCAAGAGCCATAGAAATATAGCTGACTGTTACCGTTCTTTTCGTCAATGATTATTCGTTCATGTGGAAGCTGTGGCCCTGATAACTCCTCCTCCATCCCGGGTTGCTGGTCTTGTACCCGTCGTAAACCAGTAGAAAAGCTGCATACTCGGCCAACTTCTGTAACGCAATATTATGTTATGTCAAGACGAAGGGTCAAATATATATGGAGTTGATCTATTCAGATCTCAAGGGGTTGGGTGGTTGGTTGGTTGGAAGAGGTGTTGGTCAGAGACCACGCGGGAAGAAGAGGCGAAGGATCAGCTGACAGCTGCCTGGCTGCAGTGAATGTCTCAACATATTACGGCCGAGGTAATCGATCTTCACAGTTTTTTGGTCCTTCCCCAAGGCCTTTGAAAAGTATAAGAGAATTTCACCCCCAGCGCAGCATCAACGATAGGGAAGACTTCAGAGAACTTGGTCAGCGATGAAAATTCGGAAAGGGCTCTCAAAATGATCGCTCACCTCCCAGAGTTGATTGTATAAGAGAAAACCTGTCCCCAGCATAGGAACAACAAGAGGATCCCGCAACAATGCAGGAAAATATACTAAATGGAATCACCCCCATACCGTCTATCAACACTGAAGACTTAGGGAAAACTTGGTCAGCAATGAAATTCGGAAAGGACTCTTGAAAGGATCGACCACCCACCAGAGTTGATCTTGATATGACTGAAGTGTATTTCGGTTAAAGTCTGCTTAGAGAGCGCCATGAGGACGAGATAAGTGTAGCTCGGTGTGTTCTGAAAATGACTCGGCGTCACACCTCTAGACTACGCTGAGCTATGAGTTTTGGAATTAATGGGTCCGGTCAAAGCTCAAATATCTCACTGGAGCAGCTTATTTAGTTGAAGAAACATGTCGAAGCGCTATCTTCGAGACCAAGAACAACATATTGCGTCTATCCGGAGACTAGACGAAGAGATATGCTCACATATGGGCCCCTCAAACCACACGCTGTAGGAATAGGCTCAGACTGAAGTTGGCCTCGAAGTCGTCCCACTAGCAACAGCTCATCAGAATTATATAGTATGATGGCTAAAAGCAAAACAAAGTCATGCAGGAAACCGCCGCGTTGATGCTTTTCGATTTGTTTATCGCGTCGGAGTAAAGGTACAGGTGTGGGAAAACCACACGAAGGGGTTGTAGCTGGAAGCGAGATCACAACAAAGACATCTTGAGCGCTAGAAACACAGCAAAGATCTTGGAGTTTGCAGAGAGGAAAGCGTGAGTTTTTATGGCGAAAAGTAAACAGGAAACTGTCGTATTGGTGCTTGCGACGGCGAGATGCGTTCCGTTGCTTGTTGTATTGGAGTAAGAGTAAAGGTATGAAAAAGCACACAAAGGGGTTGTAGACGAAAGCAAGATAACATAAAGGCTATCTTGAGCGCTACAAACACAACACAGAAAGGATTTCTCCAGGCACGACCTACAGCGGGAACCAAAAGGAAGCAGAATAATGCAGCGAAAGTGTGTTGTATTGCTTTCTAGGAACCCCGCAGCAGCGCGAGCGCGAAAAGGGGAGTGACTGCCTCAACAAAATTCTTATAAAGGTTCAAAGATAGAAAGTGTGAACTAGAGGAAGTAGAATAGTGACGGGAGGAAACTGCAGGTGTGACAATGACCAGCAAGGCTGATGCTGGGCCGGGCTAAGCAACGATCAAAGTAACAGCGTTACTCCATTTGTGGCTATCACCGACACCGAGCGCTTCATCGGTAATGCCGCCAAGCACCACACAATACTGTACTCGATTCTAAGCGCCCGATTAGTCTTAACGTGATAGCAACATTCATAAAAAAGCGTGGTGCGGACGTTTCTGAGGATGAGGACTTTTAAATATGAGGTTGGATGGGATTTGCTACGATTTTCTGGGTGTTTATAGAGTTTGACAGTCATGCGAAATGAAGACTTGGCTTTGATGATTACAAATTACTAGTAACCGGAGAACAAGAAATCTTAAATATAAGATTAGATAGAAGACACCAGTCATCTATAAACTCAACAATTATCATAAATACACAGACACTCAGTATTCTATGGTAGAACTTTACCAATATAAGACTATCTATCTACTAACTGTGACAACTGGTCACATAACCAACAAACTTAGTAAATTAAAGCTTTATAAGACATGCACATTCTGAGTCTGTTAACTCAGAATTCTAGTCTTTTACTGAATAATCTAACAAAATAACTCCTGAAGCGCATCAGGCGGGATCGTGACACTTAACTGTACCAACATACACGAGGAAGTGCTTGACTTCCATTTGAGGTCACTCTGCATCAGGTCATGCTTCTAACAAAAGCTTATTTATATGCGGCAATAACCACCTTAGTCAAATAGAGCTGAATATAGAAGCCACCATCCTGAGCACCTGCCTTATATTCTTTATGTTTATAAGTCCTGTAAGACAATCAACAGAAGTTCCGATGAACCTCTTCCCTGTCCCACACATCAAATACTCAGACAAGCTAACGCATCATTCTTTTTCAAAAGCCAGGTTCATCGTGTGCCCGCCGTCCCGGAAAGGTTTTGGAGGATATACTTCGCTACTTCGAGAAGATCGAGACGCAAAGAGCAGGAAGAGTCCCTATCCTTTTATGAATTGAACCTCAGATCAAATGATCTTAGTTCTATTTTGGATTCGAGAGGGGACTGGTAGTCCTGCAATGCGTGGCCTGTACAAAAGATCCAGGTGATCCTGGACAGATAGTAGACAGTCTATCAGGCAGCCTTGCGCACTGCTACTCACCAAAGTGAGACTTTTTGACTGTGACTGGGCCGATGTCGCTAATACCATCGCAGCGTTCCGGATTGTGGTATATTACTTCAGGTGTTGTGTCTCACAAATGCGTGAATTGACACCATTCCATATATCGCTGGAACACAAGACAGTAAGGCGCTGTACCTTAGCTGTATACATGGCCATGATAGATAGATAGATAGATAGATAGATTGGGTTACCCTAATATAGCGCGTCCAGGGCGCTCTTGCAGGGCGCCTGCGGCCTGAGCGAGCCTCCGAGCTGCGAATCTAACGTACAGGACCCTATTCCTTCCCTATTCCCTTCCTATATAGAACCCTCGTAATCTTACAGTATCGCTCAAATACCGTGATTTAAACATGAAGCTATCCCCAGATTCAATCTGACCAATCAGAGCGCGCGTAGCAGTTCTACATGGCCATGATAACATCATTACTTGTCTCCTTATTAATGCCAAGATAAACTCGTGCTTGCTCAACAGTTGCTACCACCCCGACCGGGTGATGGAACTTCAAGATCTTGTGCGCCAGTATGAGCGCAATGGCTACTTTGACGAGCTCATTGCGGTTCTGGAGGCTGGCCAGGGTCTGGAACGGGCGCATATGGGCATGTTCACCGAATTGGGCATTGCCCTCTCTAAGTACCACCCCATCATCTTAGGGATGTTAATGCGAGACCAGAAGAGCTTGAGATGTTCTATCACCCGGTCGGGGTGGTACTTAGAGAGGGCAATGCCCAATTCGGTGAACATGCCCAAGATGATTCGGGCCTGCGAGAATGCAAGTCTCTGGCCGGAGCTGGTCTTCTTGTACTGCCACTATGATGAGTGGGACAACGCTGCATTGGCAATGATGGAGCGTGCTGCCGATGCCTGGGAGCACCACTCGTTCAAGGACCTAGGTTTGTATAATAAACCGCCCCCACTGACAGCAAGGTGGCCAACCTGGAGATCTACTACTCCTTTGCCCTGTTAGCTGCGGACCTCAAACTCTCGTTCTGGAGAGACCCAATTTTCCAGTCAACTGTAGAAAGTTAGCCACCCTGGATTTTAAGTATATTTGAGGTCTTGTTTGCTCACGAGGACAAACGGCCATCCTTCTGCTTCGCACATGGTAGACAGGATTTCAACAAAATCTAGAAACTGGGTAAAGATGACTATCTTGTCCGAGGATTCCTGGGCAAACCACTCTGTAAGAATTTCGCGTATCTTCGTGAGTTTTGCACTAGGCATATGCTGGGCACACGCTCTAATCCAGTCCGTATCCTTGTCAGCGTCTGGCTCTTCATCCGTTTCGTCTGCTTGTAGCGCCGTGATCTGGCGAATGTTGCTCCTAGCTTGTTTCTTGGTTGTGGTTCTCTTTCGGCGCTGCTTTCCAATCTTCAGCCGCTGACTTGATGCGCTTACTATGCCTGCTGTCGCCTATCTTCCATAATTCTGTGCGTGATTCTGTCATTATCGTGGTAGAGCTCAAGCATAGAAGATCCCAATGATATTGTCCTCGGTAAGCCGCGGATCGTCGTGTGTTAAACCGAAGTACTTGTAAGCATTGATCACGTCGCCATCAGTGTATTTGCTGTCGGCATGAGCCACTTGAAATGGCTTGGTCAATGGCGTCAGCTTAGTAGCCCCCTCTAAGACTACATATCGCCTTGAGGCATTTCAGGTATGTAGTAGTAGTAGTAGTAGTAGTAGTAGTAGTAGTAGTAGTAGTAGTAGTAGTAGTAGTATTTATATACCCGATATAGCCGGCCTTTACTAGTGGCCCTGCTGTGCGCGTTCTTTCGGGTGTATAGGACCAGGGTCTCGGTTGAACCCGAACATTGGGCGAGAAAAACCTTTTTATCCCCATTGTCACCCTAAGTAGGATAACGGACAACGGCTTGTCCGAAGGCGGCAGTTTGCAACGTACCTACCCGATTGGGAGGTAGAGGCAGGCATTTCCTTTTCTTCCGTTAGTTAGCCTTAGTAACAGAGAATGAACAACTATCTGCTTTGAATGAATCCTCTTCTTGTGTTCGTTGCTTAGATCTAGATCAGTTGCTCCAGTACAGAGCACTGAAGAGCGCAGTGCTTCCTTCCAGCTTAGCCTGACAATTACTTGTATAGATATCTAAAGCTTTATTTAATATATCTTTAATTTTCTGTTAAATTCAATTATTTATATAAGTTACTGAGTATCAGTCTGTTCTTAGCTAGATTTGTATAATAAACTGCTTCTACTGACAGGTCCGGCAGTGTCGGGTAGTTGGAGGGGGCTCTGGAATAGGACCCCCAGCTATTAACAAGATTACTGTTTTGTTCTGTTTCCACTAATGGGTACCCATAAGCTTCGTAGTTGTTCCGCCGAGAAGTACCAGAATTATTCTTCCTCGGAGGCTTGATCCGAGGGTGTAAAGTTCGCAGACGTCGAAAAGGAAGCTTTGGCTGAGCAGAGCTGACATTGTAAGGGTCAGCGATGGGCTTGAGGCTGTGGGCATTCGAGGAATCCAGAATGATGATAGCTTCGCTCTTACCTTGTTCTCAGAGGTTGCCCAATATCTCATCTGACGATGGAATGTCCGGTTTCTTTAGCCATTCCTCAGTAAAGACAATAGATGGCTGGGCAAGGTACTCTCTGACGTCTTTATTAACTAACAGATAGGTATCTATATCTCTCTCTGACAGTCGGGGATCTGAGCAAGGAATCCCGGCCTGATAGTAATTCCCTGAATCTATATTGATAAGGCTTGAAGGATTCAAAAATAATTCAACAAGAGAATATCAAACTCTTAGTTGTGCAAATGGCTATATTGTAAATCTTAATATAAAAGAATTAGAGATTGTAACCACAAGAGTAGTAAAAGCTTTATGAGCTGCTTTGTATGGGAAGGAGTTGTGGAGAGATCTCGAAGCGATGAGGAACTGGAGGGGAAAAGTGAGAAGTAGGAAGGAACATACCCTGTGATTTATACTGCAATTCCTAGAGACAGTAAGATTGTAAACCATGAGTGCCCCATATTCGCAGAGATGGGAGAATGAGATGACAAGTTGGTGTAAAGTATGATATAAATGGGGATAAGAAGAGGAGAGGTAACAAGCCACCCCGTGGCCTTCCAAAAAGAGCAACTCTTGACTTCGCCTAGAAAGATAGTCGCATGGCAGTCACTACAACTGTGTTGAGTGTTCACTTCGAGCAAGCACATCCCCGGTGGCCTTGATGGTTGCCTCAGATACCAGAATCCTCGATCATGGAAAATTCAGATTCCACCCCCCTTCATAAACCGGCGAACCGCAAGGCTGTCGTTAGGGGAACAAGTTAAGATAGGATTTGCTACGATTTTCTGGGAGTTTCTAGAATTTGACAGCCATGCCACATGAAGACTTGGCTTTGATAATTACAAAGCACTAGTAGCTCATCCATGTAGTAGAGGGGAGGGTAACAGTCCTGCCAAAGTTGACACCCCGTGTCAACATGTGTATTGTGATGGATTTGTCCCGAGAAAAGGGAACCTTACAAAGACAAAGAGGGATGATCTACCAGACACGAGATGTTTATGAGGTTGACAGAAGTCTTGTATATTCACAGGAACAGAGAAAAGTAGTATATATGTACAGGAACTATACAGGAGTTTCGTACATCCCACTAAAATTATTGAGTTTGAAGTAGAACGCCTTCCAACAAGAAAAGGAATAAGCCATGGAAGACCGTCGATATGTCTGACGATGGCGGAAGTAGCGTATATAGACTGATCCTTGAGGATCAGAATCTGGACTTATTCCTGCCCACAGAACACTATCCGAGTGACCCAGTGGGTTGTATTGAGGCTGTATAATAATGTTTTCAGACTGTAATCCCCCAAGAATGCCTTTCTGTGGTCTCAATATTCAGTCTGGGTGAAGCATATCATGGATTTCCTGTCCAGACTGAAGAGTGCAGTGTTTCCTTCTAGCTTAGCCTAATAATCACTCGTATAGATATTCAAAGCTTTGTCTAATATATCTTTAATTCTCTATTAAATTAAATTAGTATTATAAGTTACTGAGCATCAGCCTGTCCTTGGCTAGATTTATATGATAAACTACCTTTACTGATAGGTCCGGCAGCACCGGGCAGTTAGAGGGGGCTCTGGGATGGGACCCCCGGCTATTAAGAAGATTACTGTTTTGTTCTGCTTCTATATTGGGAATATACTGTTCTAGCAGACCAAAGTCTTTTTCTTCAGCCTATTTAAAGTCTTTCTCAGAGCTGTTATTATGCTATATAAAAAATCTATATCTATTTATAAATTAGACCTCAGATTAAATAATCTCAGTCAGTTTTATTTTAGATTTTAAAAGAGACTGGTAGTCCTGCAATACATAGCCTATATAAAAGATTCAGGTGAGTTTAGATAAAGCTAAATAAGAATAAAACAAAGCTTCTCATTTTTTTACTTTAATTTGAAATAGATTGCTGGTCCTGGACAGATAGTAGATAGTCTATTCTGTGAAACCTTACCCCGGTTCCTGAAACAGATAGGAACACCTGTGGTATTGGAACTTGCTGATAATAATAATCATTTCTTCCAGTCATGCTTAGTTCCTTCAACTGTTACTTATCAGCGGGTTCGCAAGGAGCCGTGCGGCTGGATCATTCATAGTTTCTTCTCCGTCTCATTGTCGTCTGGCAAGCCCTCCAGTACAGGCAGCCTTGCGCACTACCACTCACCAAAGTGAGTCTTTTTGACTGTGACTGGGTGGTGAGGGCTCCAATATTAGAACTCGGTCTAAGATGTGATAAGGGATTAATTTTACCTGGCGCTTCCTTCAAATTTCTTATATCTCTGTTATTCACTACCTGCTTAGACTCCTCCAGCTGCTTCGGCGGGAACCTTTGCTTTGTCTCCCCAGCTGACAGAACAGCCGGGTGCCCCGTCCGCTCCCGGCCCCTTTAGATTTAGAATATGGGGAGAATACACCATTCATACCTTAGCATTGTAAGGATGTAGATGAGATATAATGCAAAAGGAAGAGCAAAAGACAATTTCAATTTGTTATTTCAATGTTAGTTACATGCAGGAAAGTAAAGGCAGCAGACGAAGTACGGATCGGCTAGTCCGCTCTCCTCTAAAGAATCGGGCTTCGAGGCTCTGCCTGGCTTTGTCTTCCTTGGTGCGTTCGGTAGTACTATAATCGATTCATAGGCAGACGCTTGTTATCCCATTTACAAGATGAGATATCCGCTCTGTGCGACTATCACCATTGGCATGGAGAGTCAAAAGACTATCTCATTTTTTGTCGCCTCAATACCTCAAACATAGCATTTGTCTTCAATATGATTTCCACATATCCATCGACCTGGCTTTTCCGGGCGGCTAGCAACACAGTTTTGGTCTACTTGGCAAAGCAATTGCTCTATTGTATCGTACCGCAAGCATACTTGATACGGCCGGATTAAATTGCGACATAGTATAGAATGCATACCCAAGATTGTACATAAGATGGCTGCAGTTCACATGCTTGGTCCATTTGACCTTCTAAGGCTAGTAAAAATTGATGGTAAGCGGGAGAGGTTTGGGATAAAGTCTGAATGATCGCTTACTATATTTATTGGGACATTCACCGAACAAGACCATCAGATCATCCCTTCCTCCTCCCCTACGGCTCCTCCGTCTTCCCCCTCGGGGCACCCTGTCCCGTATTCTGCGAGTTATGGCTCTGCATCGAGAGTGCAGAATGGTTATGCTTGTCTCTATCGCTGAATTGTCCGTTCAGCAGGATTGGTCTTTCGAGAGACGCATAATCACGCGGAGGGAGTCCCCCAGCGCGCCACCGAGGACCCGGTGATTGTCTTTTCAATTTGGTGTAAAAGGTCCAGAATGACGCCAGGCAAGCCATCATGATCGCTGTTCGCATAGTCAGATATAATTCCACATGTTCCAAGTCAACTGTATTTCGAGAAGACTTACCAACACAAATCTCGATCGCGTTCCAGAAGACCAGCCATGCAGGGCTCAAGATCCCCGTTCCTGAGACACTCAGCTCAAGTCGCACCAGCGCTATGATGATGATAAACGCCGTTAGAAAACTGACACCTATCAAGGCGAGCTTTCTCCGAATGTCGATTTTAACTCTCCACATGACGTGACCAGAGAGAATGATAACTATATAACGAAGAGATGATTAGCTGAAGTAAATGCGAGAGTGTTGAAAGGACGTACTAGCTGCATCAGATACAATATCCATACTCGTCGAGACCTTTAGGCTCACCCGTTCATACCAGATCGAATACGCACTCGCACAAGCCTCTGTCACAGCGCGGTTAACTTTAGCACTAGTAGGAGGAAAAGAATGAAACTGACCAATGCTATCCTCAAAGGAAGCCATCTCACATGCATAGTCCAGGACACCCAGTGTACCCCCATAGCAGGCGATAACAAATGCCAAAACCACCCACCAGAGGATGCGTTGTGCACGAAAACGATTTCCCAGATGTCGGAAGAAGAAAATGAAGGACAGCTTGACCGACCACAGACTAGTATACGAGAGGAGGTATCCGGCCAGCTGCCCACGCAGGTATCGCACCTGGATGGCGGCAATGTTTTCTGGCAAGTTGGAGTAATCGATTGAGCCTGTGGTAAGGGTTGTTATATAGAACATCTGCTTATAGCATACCGACCACACGATGCAATTGGCAAGAGATAGCACCCAAGCCGTTAAGATCAGGGCATCGTGTGTGTGCCATTTCCTGTCGACAAGATATTGGAGGAGCAGCCGAATAAGGACGAAGAAGAACGTGATGGTCTGACAGACCCAAAGCACGGCCTTGTGGGGGAGAAATAGCAGTCAGCCAGCCAAGCTTAAGGTAGAAGCTTCAGGCTAAGGCGGGAGGAGTCCCTCAGACATACCACAAATGTAGCCTCATCGATATAGTTATTCGCCATGGCACGTCAAAGTATACGCCTCTGGGAATACGAGATCCAACGCAGCTTCTTCGCAGTGGACTGCGACGGGAATGGAGGGGCAGATAGCTGAATATACTATACGTCCGGAGACGCAGCGCTGGTCAGCCTTGGCCCACAGCATTCCGTCCTTATGCAACTAACGAGCGATGTATGCAGCTGGAAAGACTTCGCTGCACCGCCCCATCCATTCCGATACTGCAACAGTCGCCCGGATTGTAAGCATCCGCACGCCCTGTGTAATACTTTTGCAGATGTAAGCGCCCCAACCTTTGAGGGTACATTGCACTGCGGGCTATGAATAGCTGAGAGACAATCATTGGCAGCGTAAGATTCTTGAGCTTACACATAGCAAGGGAGGCGGGGCGACGAGTAAGCATTGTCGGAGTAGATGCATAGCGGGACAGTGTTCGTTTCGAAAATTACAAGCATCTAAGCAGCTCATCAGCCGTCATACACTATCTGTATTTGAAGTACAGCTAGCCAGCCTGATGTCTCGCATCCCCACGAGGCTGTCTCACTAAAGTAGTGTTAGGCTGTTAGCTATCGAGATCGGAGCATTTGTAAGCACTAACAACCGAGTCCCTATTTTATGTTGACTACAAGCCATACCATGAAGAAACCGGCATGATGAAAACTAAAGTGTCGGGACTTCTTACTCTGCCTTACCAAACGGTGATTTGACCTCGAGCGCACTTGCACGCAGCGGGGCAGTTGACTACTTTCTGACACGCATGAAAGATCGGCATTAGATGAGCCATAACGAGGAGTGCCGACGCACGTTTGGTCATTCTTGCTTATCTGACACTGTTCTGTCTTTGATTGGCCTTCACTATGAGACATCCCTTGATTGTCATGTTAGAGTGCATCGATCAGCAGTTTACAGAGCGCTATGAATCCGAGTAGTCGAATTGAGTAGAGTGCAATTGGAAGTGTGAGGATTTTAGTTTATCGGATCATCTTGAACCTATTTCTCCTTTACTCGACTTAAAGTAGTTCTATTAGATAAAGGTCACATTATGTTACACTTCATATCCAATGAGAGGCCAGTCTAGTAAACCTTCTCGAGCTACTTTCCCTCCTCCAAGTCATTATTCTGCTTTTCAGTTGTCGATTGTTCATTCTCGTCCCCATTCGCGGCCATTTCCGCCAATTTTTTGCTCGCCGCCTCTTTCTTAACGTTGCGCCATTCCATGGCCAGAGCGAATGGGACCGCCAGACATGCGGCCGCAAGCCCAAAGTCCATTACCGCCCGAATTCCATAAGCATAAGCATCTTGCAGCGCGCGGAGGATGGTCGCATCAGTGGTGAGCGACCGTAGGCCGGTCGGACCAGCAGCGATGACGGTCTCTGCAGCAATGGGAAGATGAGATGTGCGGACTTGGTGCGCGACGCTCGTTTCGAAAATGCTTTCTCCGATGGCGACGGCTATGGCGCTGATGTTCGGTACAATTGTGAGCACTCATTCAATGAACCATCTGTACGGTGAATAGAACTTACGCGCCGAGTTGGGAGAAGAAAACAGTGATTGCTTGAAAGTCGAGCTGGTCAGCGCGAGCGATTACTGGCACCGGGAGAGATGTTTTGGCACTTACCATTACCAATTGGTATATCGTCGTCACTATGAGAACATATGAGTTAGCGATATCTGGAGGGATGGGTGTGCTGTCTGACTTTAGAACGACCTGAACCGCTGTGAAAGGCATCTGTAGTCCCAAACCATGTCCGACTCCGGCGATGACGAGAAATGTCGCCCATAATGCAGTCGATGTGCCGACTTCGAGCTTGGTCAGGCAGGCAGTGCCTATGATAGAGATGACTTGGCCCAGGACCATGAATGGGACCTGACAGTGGAACTTGGGTCAGCAGCGCTCATAAGTGGAAGTCTAGAAATCTGGTGACTCACGTAATGCCCTGTGATTGACACAATGGCGCCTGTAAGGACAACGCCAGCGATTTGAGAAACGCCCAGAGGGATTCCCCGGATACCACTAACTGTTGGGGAAACAAGTTGGGCGGATTGGAAGTAAAATGGGATATAGTAGAGTGTCTGTACACATAATGAGTCGAATACTAGATTGTATCCCAGGCTGGAGGCTTACAACGTAGATACTGATCTCTAAGAAAAACGAATACAGAGCGCCCATCAGCACAGAGCGCTGGCGCGCAACTCGAAGGGGAACGGTGCTACGCTCCCCTTGATACCATTGCGAGAGGAAAAAGGCGATCAAAAGCAGGCCTGCACCAACAAACAGCCCAATCACCTTGGACGAGCGCCATTTGCTAGAACTGCTGCCAAATTGCATGGCGAGTATTAAACAGGACACCCAGGCGATAGTCAAAGTGATTCCAATGTAATCGAAGGATCGGAGGCGCGCGAGAATTGAGTCTGCTGGTTTTGCTCGACGGTCCTGAAGCTTGAGGAAGAATAATACCAGGATGATTGCCACGCCACCGATGGGTAGGTTGCTGAAATTGAAGATACGGTCAGCCAAGATCAACAAGTTAGGATGAATAGCCCTACATCCAAAAACACCAGCGCCAGGTCACATGTTGTGTAAGAATACCTCCCAGTGGTGGTCCCAAACATGCAGCGATACCGAACACGCTCAGCACTATTCCCAGATACATCGGCCGTTTCTCTAACGGAACGCTCAGCCCAACGATGCTGAGAGCGCCTTGATATAGACCAGCAGCACCAACCCCGGTGATCGCTCGACCGACAATAAAAGCCGTAGAGCTCGGACTAGCAGCGCATAGTACGGATCCCGCTTCTCAGGTCAACATGGTAGACACGAAGTGTAAACAGTCAGTAGACTCACCTTCAAACAGAACGGCAACACTAAGATAGGTTGCCTTTGCATCGAAGAGCTGGAACACATTGCCAAAGGCGGGTTGAAACGCTGTGACCGTCAGAAGATAGGCTGAGCCATACCAACCCACATCATCAAAGGCTTGGAATGTAGTGGAGATACTGGGCACAGCGACACTGATGATTGTAGTGTCGAGAGCAACCAGAAAAGTTCCACAACACAAAGACACGATAACGATTGCTAGCCGCCATGTCTCCGTTGGTGTTGTAGCCTGGCTTGCCAAACCTTCAGATTGAATGGAGTTGGTTTCCTCCATCGATATCTGAGCTGCTGGTGGCCTTTCTGTGTCAACAGCCATCTTTGGGAAGTCGACCGGTGAATCGCGATAGTATGCAAGGGAAGAGGACAAGGAGTCATGAGGAACAAGACGCGATCAAGACGCCCAACTTAAAACATACATAGCAACATCGGTCTCAGCCTGTGTTAGGCTGACAGGCCACTTACTGTGCGACTCGAAAAGCATCTTGGACACGAATCATGCATGCAAGGAGCAATGGGGCCACGGAAGGAAGACGTTGCAGGCACGCGGGAGTGTCTCGGACTTGGTCGGGATTTTAACTACAAACCTTTCTGATCCCCCTGCGATAAGCGGTAAATACAGTATCGAAAATACATACAAATTTACTAGTACCAAAAACACTTTGAAAATACCAATTACTACCTCACCACCCACTTCGAGGGCTGAAACCACAACCCGCATCTCGTATATGCATCATACCGCCTGCTCTGTACAACGTTAGGCAACCTGACTAATTATAGCTCATTGCCGACCGCTTGGCTGCACCAGGTCGCACTATTTGCCTTGTAAAAGTCCGACAACGCTCACAGGGACCACCGAGTCATTGAGACCAGCGTTGGATCGATACAACATCGGATAAAGATATGCAGGAAAAGACCAGACCAAAAAGCTTCCGACCCAGAGAAATCCAAATATCCGTTCACCACGGGACGCCGTCCAGTTGCGGGACGGCCCGCCACCACGAAGTATAACAGAGTAGGCGTTGACGGCCAGATCTTCCAGCATTAGTCCGAAGGCCTGCGTGCAGAAGAATTGCACCGCCCCAGAGCTAGAGGGCGATAGCCCCGACGACAGGTCAATGAGTAAGTGCATGAAAGCGGAGGTTGCAAACACCATCACCACCTTGGCATATCGGTCGGCGAGCGTCCCTGGCTGGAAGCGAAAGACATCGCGTGCAAAAAATCGAGAGATCGCACGGAATTTGTGGGAATTTGATTGGTGCCACACGCGACTATGCCGGCATTAGTTCAATACCGAAAAAGAAAAGAACAGAGGTGAAGGGGTTTACCTCCAAAGTCTCCGCAGGCTATACGCATCCGACAAGGCTCCGTAGAATGGAGGCCAGTCCTGCGGCTTACTCCATCTCGCAAGAACGCTGGTGAATGCGAAGAGATAATAGAAACCACCCTGACTGGCCAATAAGCCTATGCCAGCCGCAATGCCCGAAAATACTCGGATGACGATCTCTTCCGTAGTGATTTGGGAAATCCTCCGAAACAGCGGCACACGAGAAGCAATGAGGAAGCGAGATCCCACCTCAGGATCGCCCATCGAGCCTAGCACATCGAGGCCCAGATAACTGAGGAGGATAATTCCCGCAGATCGACGGAGGAATGCGGCTCGGTCACAGGTGACCGCTTCAGGAATGTGGTGCACTTGCTCAGGCGTTCCAATGCATCGCGCATTGAAGGCCGCCCAGATACCAAACCGTACACGGGCCACCCAGGTCGAGTTTAGCGTCTTAGGCGACTTCATCGGGGAGGGCTCGACAAATTCCCACCGTGTCAACAACCCTATGTCGACATAATGAAGCAGTAACATGACCGAATAACCGCCTGCGAGGCTGGCCCATGGTGTCCGTACAAAGTATCCCAAGGAGGTGGAGATGCAATGGCCAGTGCATAGCGCGACAAACACCAATGCGCCAGGCCTCAGGCTTGACAGGGCCGGGGTGAATCCCAGAGTGGTCACCACCACGGCCGTTTGAAGAGCAATTGTTAAGAAAGGATTCAAGGGCATTTTCTATACTCTAATGCTGGTCTTGGGGGTTGCAGCTGTCGCAAAGTAATAGCAAATAGCGGACAAAGCAGGGAGGTAATGAATGTATTGTAGGTCAAGGAAAAAGATCAGGTCTTGTGAAAAGGGGGAATAGAAGCTGGCAATGTACCTTTGGCCCAACCAAACAAAGAAGCAGGGATTATTGGACACTTATTGGCCTAAAGTTGGGCAAATGACTGAGCAAGGGGGAAACCCTTGCAGCTGGCACATCCCGGTCCAGTCTACTTTGTGATGGTGGGTAGTCACAGCCTTCTTTCAATGCAAAAATTTGAAAAGAAAACAAAGTACCCGGTAAGGCTTGCGTTACAAGTGTCAATTGCCTGGACAGCGTTTTTGCATAACCGACGCCTCGTCCATTTCACTTAGTGCTTACTCCAGACCCCACCTGTCGATCAATTACCCTACCCGTCTCTCCTCATATGGTAATTTATAGATTCATCGTCTTGGATGAGAGTTGAGACTTATCCCAGTGCAAATGGATGAATAGCCTGATCTGGGTATCTGAAACACTCTGCACACCTTGAATTATGTAAATCATACTTTCGTTTTCGCCCCCACTCCTCTTCCAAGTTTCTACACCTGATTGCTATTGGTAATAAGGGCTTCTCTAAGCCTTAGTGATAATCCATTGGCTTCCCTACATGCTCTCTCGCCAGGCTTTTCGGAGGGCTGTGTGCTGCTGATGGAAGCAATGATGCAATGACGGGAAATTCTGGTCAGATGAAGCCTACAAGGCACCCACTGTTGCCGTCAGATGTGTCCTCGTCGTTTGCTTACCTTGACTCGTAAGATATCGCTGGGGTGAGATTTGGCGATCGTGATACTATCGGTGGTAACAAGCACATTACTCGTGGGTTATTTAGGGGCCAAGTGGTCAGGGAGAATAGCTGGGGAAGAGTAGCAGGTTGTAAGATATATAAGCATCTCTGCAAGTACACACGGAAGTGTCCAAGTTGAGCTTGACTTCCACGGCACGCGAGGATTAGCATCAGCTCTGACTATGCTTGCGGATATGCTTTATAGCAGCAGCCTGGCACTATGCCAGATGCTGGATACCAGGCGCACGTCTTACATTGTGGCAACCCTATGGATTATTTGGCAGCTGATCAAGCTGCTCAAGATGTATAGCAAGCGCCCGGTATGCATGAATATCTCCCTCGCTTTATACAGCTTTAGTACGCGATCCAAAATCATCCACGCTAATGCCTTCAAACCAATAACAGCTCAACACTTACATCGGGGGTACGTCTATTTTATTATTCGGAAAGTGGTTCACCAGTCTCGAGTTCGTGGTCGATGGGGCAGGTACGGTCTTCAGTCTCTATCAGAGGGTACGCAACTCCAATTCTACTAATCTGCGCTGAGATATCCAACTAATCGCAAGAAGTTGGGACGTGATAAGTCCTTCGCGATTCCCGCTCTCAACGAGTATCAGGTATTAGTCTCCTCCGAGCAAAAGGTTCGGGAGCTGGGGGAGAGCGCGGAGAGCGTGCTTTCATTCCACACGGCCATGGAACAGGTATGGACAATTTTTGACGTACCTAAGTATTACTGTGTCTTACAGTGCTATAGAGGATTCAGCACAAATACACCTTGTTTGGCTTCCAGCACAACGATATAGATCCGCATAACGATATTGCTAAGCGTGTCATCAAGGTCCTGCTTCGCATCAATTTACCTCAGATGCAGCAAGGCCTACAACCCTTGGTTCAAGATCTGTTTAAGCAAGAGCTGACAGATAGAGACTCGGATGGTACGTACACTTTAGTCTTGATGATGTAAAATGGCCATATCTGATTCTGTCAACAGGTTGGAGTCAAGCAAGTGGATTTACCCTAGCTAAGCACCTTGTTACACGAATCAACAATTACGTTCTCTTGGGTGAGAAGCTGGGTGAGAAATATGCCGTACACCACTTTCTAGTAAGCTATAACCTAACGAATGTTTAGCTAGCGATCCAGCTTTCGAAGACGCTGTCAATCGGTACCTTCAAAACGTCGTGGTGACCATGGAACTATGTCGCCACCTCCCATCATTCCTAGTTCCGTGAGTACTGCTCTGTTGCATATCCCACGTGATATACTGATTTTCCAAGGTTGGTGGCACCAGCCATGATGCGTTGGAGTGGAGCTATGCATTTCATCGGTCGCTCTGTTACTGCCGAGGTAGAAGATCGACTTGTCAAGAGCAACGGCACATCCCAGGATCCCTCAAAACCGGTGAGTCAAGAAGCCCCCTCTTATGGTTCCGGGACTAAGTTACCTGTCATAATAGTGCGACGGCATACAGTGGGTAATAGATTCATCCAAGACTCCAGAACAACGAACAGTATCTCGACTGGCCCAACAAATAATCGCTATTCTCTTTGCCTCCGTGCATCAAATGGCCGCAGTTAGCATACCAGCCCATACTAAACCGCCCCAAGGCTAATTATCCAACAGGCTCTGGTATACGCCATGTATGACTTGTGTCTCCATCCGGAGTTCATCGAGCCGCTCCGCGAGGAAATCAAGCATGCGCGAAGCGCGACCAGCTATGAAGATCACTTTGATCGGTTGCCTTTGATGGACAGCTTCCTACGGGAGTCTGCACGACTCAGTCCATTAGATGCCTGTGAGATTCCCACATATATCGCGCGCAGTTTACTTCAAGCCTGATAACTAAACCCCGTTCATTGACAGTGTCAATTCAACGGGTGGCTCTATCACCCTACACTTTCGCAGACGGCACGCATGTCCCAACCGGAAACCTTGTTGCCGTGCCTCAAGAGGCAATTATGCAAGACCCGGAGCATTATCCAGATCCAAAGAAATTCGATCCATATCGGTTCCTGGCGGTGGATGAAGCGGATGGTTCGGTGAGAGCTTTCCCAAAGTATACAGACGTGCATTGGAACTATCCCTTCTGGGGTTCGGCGAAAAAAGCATGGTAAGCATCAAAACGAGTTATCCATAACATTTATCTGTAGCTGATAGGCCATGATGACAGTCCCGGTCGGTGGTTTGTCTCGAGGACATTGAAACAAGTTCTCAGCCATGTGATTATGGAGTACGATGTCAAGCTGGCGGATGAGAGTGCATCACGAACCTTTGTTTGGACCACGGCTATTGTGCCTCGATCTAGTACAAAGTTGATGTTGCGAGCGCGAAAGTGACTTTCATTTCTATAACCATTGCATTATATACGAATAACGATTTTGAACATACTCATCTTCTCCGTACTTTCAGCCATAGATAAACGCAATATACGATACCCATCACTCTAGTCCCCCCATCAAAGTACTTACTAGCAACAAAACGTAACCTCCACCAAAGCAGCAAAAAACTTCCTTAATCTACTACCAACCCTTCAATCAAACCTCACAACCTCCATCCCCATCACCAGCTCCCTCAACTCTCCCTCCGCAGGATACCTCTCCACAAGCCCTCTCAACTCCCCCTCAATCCCAGCCCACACCATCTCATCAACGCCCGTTTTCGTCCTAGAATACAAGCTAATCCCCGCCGGCGTGAACATCGACTTATTAGCAAAGACAAGCAGCCACTTGTCGTCATCGTCTGCTCCGCCCCATCCCAGAATCTCCCACTGCGCACTCACCATCCGCAGCCATCCGCTCCCCCGCCACTCCATCTGAATCGGACCATGCTCTTTTCCGCCTGATATAGCTCGGTCCGTTCCGGTTGTGGTCTTTACTGAGGAAGAGGATAGCGTTTGGTAGGATGTCTTGTTTGTGAGGATAGGGGCGGGTGAGGTTGTAGTAGCTTGGGAGAGCGCGCTTAGGGGTAGAGTGCCTGGTGGAGTGGTGGTGGTGGTGGTGTCGGCGGTTAGTGTGATTGTGGGGTTGCGTTTGTCGCTCCAGAAGGGACTGGAGGATCGTGTGATGTACCAGGTCCCGAGGATGTTGGTGGTTGTTGGTGGTAATGGTGGTGAATGTTCATGGCTGGGATGCTGGTGGTGGTGGTATTTTTGGGGAGCATGGATCATAATGGGGTTTGGTATATGGAGGTTTGAGGGAACTTGGGAGGGGGTGGTAGTAAGTATCTAGAAGTGTAGGGATAGGGAATTATGGATTGGCTTTATTGAAAGCAGAGGGTATAGATGAGTATTTATATTATTACTGGAAAGGATACCTTGGAGCGATTAATGTACATACCATGCACTCAGGCTCTGATGTTGTTGCATATTGACAGCCTAGCCTGTTACCTAGGTATATGCGGGTTTGAAAAATACGTACTCTTTACCCTCTTACTCGATATTGTGCCGGTATGCATACGGTATGGACCCGATTCATTCTTCTCCACTCTATCCACATCCCTGCCTCGATGATGACTCTCGGCTTGCAATGGCCCCGGCAAGCTGATGATGATGATGATGATGATGATGATGATGATGATGATGATGATGATGATGATGATGATGACGATGCCGTTGTTCTACCACAAGAACATAGATTAGCTCCAAACGACAAGGCAAGTAATATGTGCTTGATTTCCGTGAGTCGAAATCCCACTAGTTTCTCTATAAATATTTCTCGAGGAGCTGCTAGCTATTGACTATTATCAGGATGAATCTGCTCACCGCATTTGAACTCCCTTCAACGCTTATAAGATGCCCCCCCACCGTAGTGCCTCTTGATAAATATAGCCTCTCAGGCTTATGGCCCATAAACCAGCTCCAAAGACACGTTGTCCATGAGACTAGGACCTGTGTCGTGCAATTGCATCCTATCTCACTCATCCGAAGATTCTGGTAACTGTGCGACTTGAACGGAAGTCGATGCAGGGGGCTCTGTCTTCAGAAGACACTCTTGGGTTGAGGCAGAATAAGTCGAAATATTGAAGGATACATTGCATCCATTCGTCACGCGAAACAGTTAAGCAGTAAGTTCATAATTGAAATGAGACTCACTTTGTAAAGTCTGGTTTGACAGACTAGTATTGAAACCTGAGTGGAAGATCATTTATATAGCTGAGAGGGGGGTCGAGGTCACTTAACCTGGCTAGTCTGCATCAGATTCCATATAAACAACTAGACATCACAAGACCGAATTGATATTGGCTTACCTTATTATCTCTACGTGTCATGGATTTAATAAAAGACACGATCATAACACGGATACCGACTAA